ACCCAGCTTTTTTTAGGCCCATTATGAGATTTTCCAGTCTTGGGACTTCATTTTTTTTTTTACTCCCCCATCAACTTTTTTTTTTTTTAAGATTTTATTTATTTATTTGAAAGAGAGAGAATGAGTGAGCAGGCATGAGCAGGTGGGAGAGCCAGAGGGAGAAGCAGGCTCTCTGCTGAGCAGGGAGCCCGATGCGGGACTCATCCCAACACCCCGGGATCATGACCAGGGCTGAAGGCAGACGCTTGACCGACTGAGCCACCCAGCCGCCCCTCCCCCATCAACTTCTGATTCCTCTCGTGCTTGGTGTTGGCATCCACGGCATTTGGGGCACTTCTGATGGGATTTCTGCGGAGAGAACGCACACGGCCACAGGGGGCACGTGTCTGGTCCGGGCTCTGGAGCAGCCGGGCTACTTTAGACAACACGCGTGGCGCACGAGGCTTGGCCACGGGGCAGCTCGGTGCTCATTTGCCACATCCCGATACTGGGAACTTACCCCCTGCCTAGAGGAGCAGATCCATGCAGGGCCACTGGATCCTCTTCTAAAACGTGGGGAAGTGAAAGAAAAAAAAAAAAGAAGTCAGAGAACTTGAATGAGAGTGATGGCGAGTCCCAGGCATTTGTAAGACTAATAGGTGGATCATTCATAACCCATTTCTTATTCCTGTATTTTTCCTTGGCAGCAAAATTTCTGTGGTTCCTCCCACCCCACCTCCTCTGAGCGAAAGCCAGTGCAGTAGCAGCTCAAACAGGGTAATGTGTCTGTTCTGTGTGCCTCCCTGGGGAAGGGGCAGCGGGAGAGAGGTAGAGGAGGAAGGGGGTCTGAGAGTTTGGACCAAGGTCGTCAGAGCAAAGGGACCCACCTGTAGCAGAAGCAGGCCATAGAGGGAGGCAGAGAATGGAGGCCAGAAGTGCTGGGCCTGCCCAGTGTCCGTGCTCCCACTATGCCTCGGGGGCCATGGGATCATCTGCATTAACAATGACTCACCTTCTGTTTGCACCCCACATCCTCACCTGCAGCCCACATCCTCACCTGTGCTCCACATCCCTGCCTGTGCCCCACGTCCTCACCTGCACTCTCTGTCCCCACCTGCACCCCACATCCCTGCCTGTGCCACACATCCACCCCCTACCACTTTACTCTTGTAATTTTGTTGGCTGTCTTCCCTATCTGTGCACTGCACTCTTGAGGGTGGGGGTCTGCATAGGCTGCAGTGTGTCAGGGGTCTCTGGGTATGTAAAGAGAAATAAATACAGGTTGATTCACAGATGTGTGATTCATAGGTGTGGGAGTGCCTGGGGTGTGTGTATCTTTTGAGTATTTATAGATGCTAACATAAAATAGGCCAGGACCATTTCTGTCCACAGAAATTAGTGGTATCATCTTAGAGAAGTTACCTGGATTCCCACTTGGGAGATGGAAATAGTTATACTCCTCTGGCTTGCTTCTCAAGGCTGGTGTGAGAAATTAATGAAATAATGTCTGTGCTGGTACTTAGAAACTGTAAAGTACCATGAAAACACATGGTCTTGATTATTTTCATTATTATTATTCTGTGAATTAAAGAGAGTAACTATATCTGTACATAGAAAGGCATGTGCATATGCTAGTGAGAGAAAGTATATTTATTCCTTTTCCAGTTTCAAACCGAGTCCCTGGAATGACCTTCAAAATTCTGCTCCACTTTCTCCTTGAGATTCTAAATTCTCTGAAGTTATCCCAGCAGGGATGTGCTTAAGACGTATTTCCTGGATCGATGGATGGATGGAGGGATGGATGGATGGATCGAGGGATGTAGGGAGGGATGTAGGGAGGGAGGGATGGAGGGAAGCAGGGAAGGAGGGAGGAAGGGATGGAGGAAGAGGTAGATGGAGGGACTGATGGAGGGAGGGATGGTTGGATGGAGGGATAGAGGGAGAGAAGAGTGGGTAGAGAGAGGGAGGGTGGGATGAATAGAGGGAGAGGGATGAATAGTTAGATGGAGGAATGGATGGTTGGAAGGATGGAGGGAGGGACGGATGGATGGACAGATAAATGGATGGATGGATGATGGATAGATGATGGATGGATGGAGGGGTGTATGGACGGAGGGGTGGGTGGATGGATGGAGGGGTGGATGAGGAGGGGTGCATGGATGGAGGGAGGGATGGACAGATGGATAGATAGATGGACAGATGGATGACATAGATGGATGGATGGATGGAGGGGTGTATGGATGGAGGGATGGATGGATGGAGGGATGGATGGATGGATGGAGGGGTGGGTGGATGGATAGATGGATGGATGGAGGGGTGGATGGATGGATGGAGGGGTGGATGGAGGCATGGATGGAGGGGTGGATGGAGGGATGGATGGATGGATGGATGGAAGGGTGGATGGATGGATAGATGGATGGATGGAGGGGTGGATGGATGGAGGGATGGATGGATGGAGGGATGGAGGGGTGTATGGATGGAGGGATGGATGGATGGATAACGGATAGAGGGATGGATGGATGGAGGGGTGTATGGATGGAGGGATGGATGGATGGATAACAGATAGAGGGATGGATGGAGGGGTGGATGGAAGGAGGGATGGGGAGGGGAAGATGGACGGAGGGGTGGGTGGATGGATGGAGGAGTGGATGGAGGGATGGAGGGGTGGATGGATGGATGGAAGAGTGGATGGAGGGATGGAGGGGTGGATGGAAGGAGGGGTGGATGGATGGATGGAGGGGTGGGTGGATGGAGGAATGGATGGATATATGGGAAGATGGACAGAGGGGTGTATGGATGGAGGGATGGATGGACGGAGGGGTGGATGGTTGGATGGAGGGGTGGATGGATGGATAGATGGATGGATGGAGGGGTGGATGGAGGGATGGAGGGGTGGATGGAAGGAGGGATGGGGAGGGGGAGGGATGGAGGGATGGGACTTGAAGGGGAAAGTGACCTCCTTTCTGTCATTTTTGCTTCCTCTTTCTTCTCTCTCCTGCTTAGAGGTGTTGAACTAACTCCTTGGCTCCAGGCTGGTGCTCTGAGCCTGGTATCACCATGGGCCACTGTGTCCTGTGCCCTTTGCTGTGTTGGCATCTGCTCTGTGTGGGGTTGGGGTGGGTCATACAAGAGCTGGCTAAGGAAGCAGGAGTCTACCCGAGCACGGTCTGAGCCAGAGAAATGTCAGTCATTATTCCTAGGATGTAGTTGTTACCATGTCAACCCCATTGCTGATGCCCCTTCCTGAAATGCGGGTGTCAAACCTCAGAGGAAAGAAGCTGAGTAAGAGGGTCCCTCCCTCCTGAGAGGATAGTGCCCTCCCCTCTCCAGACATGCACGCACACACACCTGCATGCACCTGGAGCCCGTGCACTCTGCTCACACCTGCCAGTGTTTGGGCGCAGCAGCCTGCAGGCTACTGGGGCAGACACGAGTCTCCAAATATAACTCTAATTCTCTCTCCTCTGTCTCTGTTTTAGTTGCAGGAACTTGGTCAGTTTAAAGGATTTAATAAATCCGTGGAAAATTTGTTTCTGTCTGTTACCACCCACATGAAAAGTAAGTGGACGCCTCTCCATGTGTTCTCCCCACCACCAGCCAGGCCAGCCAAACCCACCAGCCAAGCGGACCTCTGTCTCCAGCTCCTGGGGAGAGCCACAGCCCCAGCCCTTCACCCCTCCACCTGCAGAGCAGGCCTCTGGTTTCCTGGGGGCAGAGGAGACCCCCTTCAGCCCCCTGGACTGGCTTAGTTTACCCCCACTGCTGCCCAACCCTGGCAGAGCTCAGCGCTTGGTGGGAAGGAGTCGGCTCGGACCAGTGCAGGCAGGTGCCGAAGCCTCTCCCACGGCCCCACGAAGACGGGGCGGCTGGGGGGCGGATCAGCTCCAGTGAATGAGATGTGGGAGGGAGCTCTCCCGCCAGGCATGGCCCAGTGTCTGTCGTTTGCACGGAACTGCGTGTCCGTTCTTCTTTCCGTCTTGGTCAATTTATCTTCTTCAATGGGCAGTAATCATGTGATTTGCAGATGCAAGGGACCCAGAACTACCACTGCTTAGAATCTTGCCTCTTTCAATGTTCTTTCTGCTCAGATAGTCTTCCCTGTTGATCTTAAACCGCAAAGCCCAGAGAATAGCCCCTGCACAGGCCTGCAAAAGTGCCCAGAGAGACGGTCCCTGGGGGCGGGGGGGTGGGGGGCTCAGGCACCCACTCCCTTTCACAGTGCTTCTGTTTGGCTTCTACCCATGCCGGTGTGTAGGGATGGGCTCAGTGTTGTCCCTTGGCCTTGAGACAGTCTTATTACTTGATTTTAATTAGTTCTCCGTATTCCCCATGAGCCCTTCTGAGTTGCCTCGTGACAACTCAAATCAAAGCACCACTTTTCGGACAAGCAGAAAGGTGACTGTCTCACGAGACAGTCTGTCCCCCTCTGCTTCAGAAAGATGACGAAGCAGCCAAATTTCGTGCCGCCTGCTTGCTAACAGAGCTCTGGAGGTTTTTAAAACTCCCCGTTAGTCTGCCTGGCTTTCAGACAACATCCACCCTCGGTGTGCACCAGCCTTGGACGTGGGTTTCCAGCTGTAACAGCTGCCTGAACTCTGAGTCCCTGGCTCTGTTCCTGCTGCCGCTCTTCTTGCCAAGATTTCTCAGCGTCTCTTTCCAGAAGCACAGCCTCTACCCAAATCCACGCGGCTTCTGTGAATCCCCTCCCACCCGCCATATTCTGGAGTCCTGCCTCAGCGTTCATTCTGACCTGGTAATCCCTCAGCCAGACACCCAGAGAGGCAGGACACACGTTTCATCTTGTCCCAGGTCACACACCCTCCGACGCATGCTGGGACCCACACACGGGTACGCTTGGGTGGCTTATGTACCCATAGCTCCGCCTGAGACAGGCTTACCCATTTGAGAATTGCCAGTTTAATACCTTGAGTGTAATGATGATGCCATCTGTATAAATCAGCAGACCCAGGTGGAGAGCCGAGGCTAATCCCTGGGGTGGGGGGGGTGGGGGGTTCCAAAGAGCAGAGCAGCATTGAGTCTCTGCCACGAGACATGGATTGAACCCCTTAACCTGCACCCCCTCCCTGCTTGTTCAGGCTCTAGTACTTCATGGGATGCCAAACCCTCAGCCCAGAGGCAGGGATGAAAAAACCCAGCTTTCTGGGCCCGTGGGAGGGATGGTCTGTCCACCGGCTCTCCCAGGTGCTCCGGGGGCTTCGGGAAGGGGCACAGACTACACACCCTTCATCCGGTCTCTGCCTCAGGGCGCGCAGCAGGGTGCGGCTGACTCCCGTTTCTTCAGGTCCTCAGCTGGTAGGCACATGTCCCTCTTCATCCTTTGTGCGGCCTGTTTCCTACAGAAGTGGTACAGAGGACAGCCAGCCTCTTTCTGGTGTCACCTGGGGTCTCTGGGGGGACGGCTGGAGGGGGCGTTGGCCTGAAGAGTTTGGGAAGCTGCCCCAGGGCTACAACCCCTGGCAGCTGAGGTTGCCCAGGGAAGCCAATCTGGTGGGAAGAAATGAGCAATTCCAGCCCTTTTTATTATGGCTGCATTTCTAGGAGATTCCAGCACCCTGGCCCCGCTTTGAAGGGGAGGAGGAATAAGAACATTGATTTTCGCTTCAGGGAAGCCCTTCTGTGCTTCTTGCTGTTAGTTTTCCTTTTCACCCGATAATGCCGATTCCGAGCCTAGTCGTTAGAAGCTGAATTGCTTGGGAGGCGCCCCCACCTGCCTCGTCTGTGAATGTAAGTGGACCAGATGAAGGCACAGGCTCTGGGGTGAGTGTCATAAGATGGCAGGGGGAGGACACCGTCCCCCAAGGCAGGGGCTTCTCCTCCTGGGGCTCTCACACCCTTCGTAGCGGGGCTGGGGTTTGGCTGTATGAGGAGTTCATGTTCACTGTCAGCTTCAAGGGTCTGGTGTGTGCCGGGACGCTGCTAGCTTCCGGGTGTGGAAAGATGCCCCACGGTTTCCGGAGGGTAGACCTGAGGACAGTGTGGACAGTAGTGCTCTCACACAGGAGAAGTTCCACACATGCTGGTGGGAAGGAAAATGCCCTGACGTTTTGGGGGGCAGGTGAGGTTCTCCTCTAGAGAAAAGAGACGCTCTGCAGACGTATGCCCTGGCAGCACACGCAGGAGGTACCCAAGAAGTAGCATCTCAAGGAGTGGATCAGGAGACAGGATGCTCTGGAGCCGGGCTGTCCAATATGCTAACAGCAGGTGGCTCCTGAAATATGGCCTGCCCGAAAAAAGGGTAAAATACACACCAGATTCCAGAAACTTAGTGTTAAAAAAAAAAAGTTAAAAATTTCATTAATTGTACAGCATGGGGAAAACAGTAATATTGAAACAATCTTACATGGGGAAGGATGGTAACTAGACTTAGTGGGGTGATTATTTCGTTATGTGCACCAGAAACTAGGATGTATTCTGTGTCCATTACCCAATTAAAAATTTCATTAATTTTCATATTGATTATATATTTTAACAATATTTTGGGTATATTGTGTTACATGAAACAGTGTTAACATCAGTCTTACCTGTTTCTTTTTTAAATGTGGCTACTAGAAAATTTGAAATGGCATACGTGAGCAACATTATTATCTATTGGAGAGCGCTGCTCGAAAGATAGTTTCAAGGTCATCTTTGAGAGAGACAAGGACCCCGGGGAAAAGGGAAGATGTTTTGGGGGGACAAAATCATCTTTGAGGTGGTTTGCTCGCTTCTGGGTGTGGATTCCTTCCTTCTCCCTTTATTCACCTTTATTCTTGGCCTCTATTACACTGCAAAAAGAACTTGTATTTCCAGGGTTTGCTTATTAAAATAATTATAGGGGTACCCTGAATGTGCTTCCACCTCTCTTCAAAGGGTCCCAAGAGATGATATTTAGTTATAAGTCTTTGTAAGGAACCTCTAAAAAGCCGGCTGGTTTGTGAGGCTGCCTTTTTTGTGCTTGGACAACCGGCCGCTCATGGTGTGTGGCCCAGGATGCAGGGTAACCTGTCCGGAAGACCTCCTTCTAGCTCCCGCCATGACGGTGGCTCTCTGCTCACAGAAGCACGTGGCCACGTGGTCACCTTTTGGGAATCCGACTCTTCTGTCCCGTGCACGGCGCGGTGTGGCCCGTGTCTAGCACGCCGTGTCTGGGGACGCTCCCCCCGGCCCCGGAGCTGGGTGTTGGATGTGCCATCCTCCCCACACAGCAAGCCTCGCCTTGGGAGACCTTGGGGGCTCCTCTGAGTGTGGTTGCAGGGGCTCCCAGAGGAGGGCCCCATGAGTCTGTCAAAGCTGTGCGCTCCCCCCTGTTATCCCTTGTATTTGTTTTCTAGAGCTTTCCAAGTCCCAGAACGACATGACCTCTGACAAGCAGCTCCGGGCCACGGGTCCCAGGCAGTGTGCTGGCCGGACGGAGAGGAGAAGCCAGTCTGACACTGCTATCAACGTCACCACCAGGGTACTCCCCAAGGCCCCCCCGGGCCGCCCCGAAAGCCACTGCCTGCCCATTTCCTCTATAGATTTAGTCTTCCTCTTATTTTATAGCACCACATTAAGCAGTCTGAAAAAAAAACATAATTATAAACCCCTCTCTATTGGGAAGGCCTGGCCAAATGACAGTCAAATTTCAGGGTCGATTTGGAAAATAGTTGAGAGCAGGGAAAAGCTTCAGCCCAATCCCAAGCCCCTGGGGCTTCTGGGTGTCTGCCGGAACTCCCTGCGGGCTTCAAGGCCACTCCAAAGGCAAGGGGGCCCACCTGCAGGGCCGAGGTGGGCCAGGTGATTCCCTCATGGAGGGTCAAGAGGCCTTTCTACTTGGCAACAACCTCCAGTTAAGATCTGTCCTGGTCTCTGATAGAAACCACTAAAAACATAAATGCTGCATGACCCCCGGCAATCACGAGGGAGGCGCTCTCCGGGTATCTAAGCCGCAAGAGAGAGCACACCTAATAAAGGCTTTTAAGGAAATAATTAGTCTGCTTTCCACCAGAATTAAGTCTGAAGCAGATGCGCTGGGACAGGGGAGAAAGCGACTTTAGAATCAGAACACCTGCGTTCTGGTCCAGCTGAGGTGACTTGGCTAGGGCAGGTCCCACCACCTGGCTGTTGACAGGGTCAATAGGACCACTCTGGTTGGCTGGACAGGGCAGGTGCTCCTTCTCTGCAGCTGCGGGCTCCACTCAGGATGTCCCCAGATAGACTGCTCTAGGCAAGAGGTTAGCCCCACTCTCCTGCGGGAACTTCCACACACAATCTCAAGGTTTCAGATTCTGCCTCCATCCATGACCCTCTACCTTGGGCATGTCACATGAACTCCCTGAGCATCGATATGCTCTTGGCGAAATGAAGCGGATAATTCTCGTTCTGCCCAAGGCGCAGGTCGCTTGTAAAGATCCCCCGAGATAATACAGTATCTAAATCGCTACCTAAGCCATCTAAATTGCCAGTCTTTCTTACTATGTGCCAGACTCCACTCAAGGCTTTCCCTGGATCATCTCATTTTATCCTCACACTATCCCATGAACCATGGATTGCATTTGACCCTGTTTTGCAATTAGGGAAACCGAGGCTTAGAGCGACGAAGTCACATGGCCGGGGTTACATAACCAGAAAGTGGTGGGCGGTCTTGCTTTGGAGGCTGAACTCTGGAGCAGCTGTTCTCAAGTTTAATGTGTGTATGAATCATTTGGGAATGTTGTTGACACGCAGAGGCTGATCAGTAGATTTGGGGCAGGTGTGAGATGCAGCGTGTCTGATGAGTTTCTGAGGAGCTGTTGGGTGAGCAGGTGATGCTGCTGCCACCCCTGGGACCTCCCTAGACTGAGGAGATGGCATCTAGAGCATGTGAGATGTATTCGGGAGGCCTTTAAAACTCCGAAGTGCAAACAAGTGTTCGTTCCCGTGGGCACCCTGGGGTCAGCACAAACACCATCCCAGCCACCGTCCCTGAGTCAGCAGATGGAGCATAAGTTAGTGCGCATTCAGGAGACACTATGTTAATTCTTACAAAAGTACTGAGATAGATAATGTTACTCCCATGAAAAAGATCTAGAGCCCGAGCTTTAGCCATAGGGTAACCGTCCTAATAGATAGGTAGATATAGATGGATAGATAACTAATTAAATGTGGAGCCAGGAGTAGGGTCCAGGTTTGTATGGTTCTAAATTCTATACTCATAACCTCCTCATTCTATGTCCCATGTAAGGAGGACAAATGAGGGCCACAATAATTGGGATGAAGCCCCTGTGATGCTAACCCTCACTAAGGTTACCAGGCACCATTGTTGGCCTGCTGGGTAATTGCAGGGTTGTCTAATGGGACGAGGGAGCTTGAGGGTAGAAGCGAGGAAGACCAGGGACGGCCATGGCTAAAGAGCACCCATCCTGCAGACACTCCGCCATGCACGTCCAGTTTGCTGCCATGCTCTTGGCAGGACATGCTTTCTACTTTTTGCAGGCATCCTCTCTCCCCACCTTACTTGAGGATATGGCTGTTTTAAGGAGCAATTTAGCCACATGTTTATAAAGTCCTCAGCAATCATGGCCTGCTCTATAAATGCTAAATAATTACGGGGTTGAAATATAAAGAGTACATCTTTAAATAGGACGTTTGTCAGACTGCAATTACACATGCCCTAGCTGGCGAGCTCATAAAAGTCACACTCACATTTTCATTGGAGCACTCGGGAGCATTTTGCCAACATCAAGCACACGATGTGGTGCCCTTTGGGAGTAGGGACGTCAGTGCCCACTTTGCAGGTGGCTACACTGAGGCACAGAAAGAGTAGATAACTTTCTTAAGACCACATCGTGACGCTGGGCTGGTAACTGAGAAAGCAGCTCAGGCTGACACTGTAGATGTCCTGTAGAGACCCTCCCTTCAGCATCTGGGCCAGGACTCTTGAGAGGCGACTTCTCTTCCCCAGCCTTTGCGAGCTCCTGTGCATCCCCATGGGATTTTATTGCACATCTTATTAATGTGTGGCGGATCTATAGTGGCCATAAAGACACGCACCTGTTAACCAGGAAGGAAACACAAGAAGGGTTTGGGAGGGGCTATCTCTGAGGAGAGGGAACAAGGGTGCAGGCGGGGAAGAAACCTTTCTTTCATGCTATGCCCCTTCATGGGAAGTTTTCCCACGTAGGTCTGAAATCTGAAGAAACCACCGGGCCCCGGGCGTGGCGCTCCTGCATACCTCCTCTCCCTGCACCTGCTGGCCACACTCAAAGGCTGAGCAGCCAGAGGAGAAGAGGGGAGGCAGCACCGTTGGGTTCAACCGTGCAAACACTTGGTCCTCAGACTCGAGGGCTGTGGGTCCCCCCCGGCCCCCCCGCCCCGGGATGGTCCTAGGAGATGCAGCCTCCCTCTCAGCTGGGATTCAACGTTGCTCAGAGCATGGCCTGTTGGCCGAGCCCAGCCCCTGGGTTTTCTGATACTTCAGCTGCAGTCTCAGTGTGGCAGTGGCCGCTCCCTTTCTTGTATTTAAGATCAGCAAAAAAAAAAAAAAAAAAAAAAAATCCCAAAGGCACAGATCGTGCGGTTCCAGGGAGTCCATAATTTGATCAAATCAAGCCTAATGTTTATTGATCTTTCAGCATAGAATATTAAACTTATTAACTCTGTGCAGAGTAGACCTCATTTGGGGCCATCATTTTTCTCTGTAATCTGGCCCAAACTAGATCATTATTGAAATACATTAAAAATCACAGGGGAAAAAAAATGCCTGTCTCCACAAGGTCGATAAGCTGCTCTTTGAATCTTGATGCTCTTTAATGGCACGGACCTGACAAAGTCATCCAGGTCCTTCTGAATTTACTGGGGAAGAGTTGAACACGACATTTCAGGTTGATTCCTTAGTCAGAATAGGCATGTTCTTCAGAATAGTGTCGACTTTTCTAATAATTTCAAAATATGTATATTTGCACTTAAGCTTCATTAAAGGTTTTCCAGAATCCTAACATATTTAGAAGCACAATCATCGGGGGCTATGAATTCGATATGCCATGTGATCACTATTATAAGGATAGTTCTCTTTGTTCCTTTCCAGAACTTTCTGTCATCGGTATTTTTTTTTATGATTTAAAAACTATGTTGCCTTAAGGAAAATGGAATTAAGTGATTATTGAACACCTCAGTGTCACAAAGCTTTATAGTAATATATAGCTCCTTTTATTCTTTCTATGCTGGTCTGATGGCTGCCTTGTTTGCAGTTTCAAATGGAATCTTCCGCACTCTCCAAGGCCATCTCCTGAAGCGCTCAGAGGGTGGAGGCCTTGCGGTAGGAGAGCCCTCTGACTAATTCTTCCTACTTCCTCCCACTTGGAGTTTCTCTGGAAAACTTTCCTCCTGCCTCAGAAATGGACGTTCCTTCCCAGGCACGGGGTCCATCCTCCTCTCTCCCCTCTGGGACCTTGCTCCTTCAGCTCCACACCTTTCCTGTCTGTTTCTCCTCAACCTGCAAGTATGCCCCGATCTTCCCCACCTTAAAAAAAGGAAGCAGCGTCTTTTGAAAGATTCCCTTCAAGCTGCTCTTCCGTTTCTTTGTCACGGCCCAAATCCATGAAAATGTCCTCTGCTCTTGCTGTCACTGCCCTTGCCCTGCTTTGCCCTCCCTCCTGTTCACTCCTAGCTTCCGTGCAGTCCATTCCCCATGCCAGTGTGACACTGTTCCCCGGGGCACCCCCAGGCACCCCTGATTGAAGAGCGTGGTGGCCAATTTGAACATCATCCTCGTCAGTGACTTTGTCGCCTTTGACACAGTCGACCAGAATTCCATTCTTTTCTTTAATTACAAAAATGATTTTATTGCTTTTATATATAATAAAACCCATGCCTACACTAATGAGAATTTAGAAAACCGACGAGGAGGAGGAGGAAGGGAAGAAGAAAAAGGAGGCACAGCGTTGAGCCAGGACAGTCACTTGGAGTACACATGGACACTCGCTTTATGAAAATGGCATCATGGGGCGCCTGGGTGGCTCAGTCGGTTAAGCACCTGACTCTTGGTTTTTGGCTCAGGTCATGCTCTCAGGGTCATGAGATTGATCCCCGCATCAGGCTCCGCACTCAGCAGGGAGTCAGCCTGGGATCTCTCCCTCTCCCTCTGCCCCTCCTCCTACTCACTCTCTCTCTCTCTCAAATAAATAAATAAATCTTTTTTAAAAAGGCATCATGCCACACATCCGCTTTTGTAATTTGCTTTCTTAAGAACCTCTAACGTTATATTTTAATTCCTTCCATGTCAATACATATATATCATCATTTTTTACAGCTACTTTTTAGGGCTTATAATTCATGCTGCCAAACTGCCCTCCTCTGGGGTTGACTCAGTTTACTTGACCACTAGACGTGGAGTAGCCTGCTTTTCAGCACCATTGCTGGCACTAAATGTTACACTTTCTATTTTAATATTTGCTAATTTGATAGGCAATTTTTTAAGAAATCTGCATTTCTTTAATTTTAGGTGAGTCTTTTCTCATTCTCTTTTCTCCTCTTTGAACATCCTTCATCCCTGAAATCTTCCCCTTGGATCTGTTACTCTTCCAGGCTGCTGTCTCCTCCCCTGGACCGGCTCTTTGGTGTCCCCAAGCTACCTGTTCTCTGGGCAACCTGACACATCAGGAATCTGTCTGGCCTCTTGAGTCTCTGCGGTTGCATGGGTCGCTGGCAAGTGTAGGAACATGCTCCGTACTTGACCCTCATGATGGGACCTCCACTCGCGATGCCCCACCTTTGAGTCTCTTCCCAGCCAGGCTTCAACCTCCCACTCAGGTCGTACTTCCCCCAAAGATCATCCCGACACCCTCTTCTGCATCAGCTCTCCCTCCCCTCTTTTCCATTGACTTGGCTTGTGACTCCATTTCAGTGGTGTATCTATTTCTGACCAGCTAGGCGAACCCCTGGAGGGTGGACAGTGCTTCTTCTCCTTCCCCTTCTCTGTACCCGTACCCCCCTTTCCGCCCCAGTACTTAGAGCGGTGGGTCAAAGATAGTGTTGCTTAACAAATGTCGGACGGACTTGAGCTGGCGCTCTGGGGATCGAGAGCATAAACCGTAAGAATAATCTGGAGCTAATCACTTCTTTCACTTGCTCGCTAATATTCTCAGTCTTTCATTCCTGAAAATTACAACTACACTGCAAATGTTTTATATCTGAGTCCCGCTTCCAACCCGGCATCAAAACCTAAAGTCTAGATTCACAGACTTCGTGTGTTCAGCCAGGAAGAGGTTTCCTACCTTGTGCATTGTGTTTGGGAGTTTCTAACCTCTGCCACGTGTGGCTCCTGAGCATTTGAAATGTGTCTAGTGCAACAGAGGAGCCAAAATTACTGACTTTATCTGCTTGTAATGAATGGGAATTTAAATTTAAATAGCCACACTTAGCTAGTACCTACCACATTGGAAAGCACAGCTGTGTACATTCTAGAAGAGGTACCGACTATTAAAGTATTTTGATAAAATTAAGAGACATTTTGATTTTTCCCTTTTTATAAGCACATTAGAGCTCAAACTGATAGGCTAAATATTGGATTTCATGTGATTTAATGCAGGGATCCTTATTAAGGTCAAAATGTGGACTTAACTTCTTTAAGACTTATTAATCCATAAGTGATCCACCCACCACTGCTCATGAATATCCCAGTGCTTGCTGGTGCCTGCCGGGGCCCCGCGGGTGTGTGTGTCTGCATTTATCCAAGCAGAAATGTGCTCTCTTACTCGGCACCCAGAAGTTTGCGAATGAGTGCCATCGGGTCACAGATGCAGGCTCTGATTGCTGTAGTTACCACATTTGAACAAAATCACACTGGGACGCAGACCCCATTATTAATTATGTGTTTCCTTTTCCGGAAGGCAAGCATGCCGGATATTCTGAAACCTCTCAATCAAGAGAGTCCCAGACGCCTTACTAGCCCTGTTTTGAAGCAAGAGGATCTCTCATCCAGGCCAACGCCCAGCGCTTTTTTCTCAGGAGGCTTGAGACACGTGAGTCTCATCTAATTGCCTGGACCCATGATGCGTGCCTGTCAGTGTGATGTCGGGTTGGGTTGGTAAGCAAGGGTAGGAGGGAAATGTTGTCCTGTGGGCTGAACTGGAACAGGACAGCAGAACTTGGAGGTAATATTTTCCCTACATGGGGAGCGGGGGAGACCTGGCTATACTTTGATGGTTTTTCTTTTATACACACAGATTTAATAATAAATAATGGTATCTTTGGATGAGAAGTTTTTACTTTCCAAGACATGTAATTTATCAGGTATTTCTCTTACAATTATTTCTGGACCCACAAGTCATGAAGACATCCTCCTCTTTTCTTCTAGAAGCTTTATGAAAGTTTCGTTTTTATGTGTAGGTCTGTGCTCCAGCTCCTTGATGTTGTGAATGATGGTGTAGGTTGAGGCTCCTTTTCCCACATGGATACTCAGTTATTCTAGCACCATTTATTTAAAAAAAGGCTCTCATTTCCCCCATTGACTTTGGTATCTTCGTTGAAAATCAAGTAACCGTGTAAGCATGGGTCTTTTTCTGGGTTCTCTGTTCTGCTCTGACCTTTCCATGTGTGCTGTGGCGAGACCACCCCGTCCTGATTACTATAGGGAGCTGTGAGGTCAGGTAGCGTGGGTCCTCCAGTTGTGCTCTTCTTTTTCAAAATATTTTAAAGATCGTCTCTGGGGGCGCCTGGGTGGCTCAGTCATTAAGCGTCTGCCTTCAGCTCGGGTCATGATCCCAGGGTCCTGGGATCGAGCCCTGCATCGGGCTCCCTGCTCCGCAGGAAGCCTGCTTCTCCCTCTCCCACTCCCCCTGCTTGTGTTCCCTCTCTTGCTGTGTTTCTCTCTGTCAAATAAGTAAATAAAATCATTTAAAAAAAAAATAAAGATCGTCTCTGTTAAGAGGCAGGCCTTTTAGTCATTCATTTGTTTATTTGAAAACATCGAAGGAATGCTGGCTTTATGCCTGAGATTGTGGTATGTGGTGTGACAGAGCCTCGGAGGACGGGTCACCTCACTGTCATAGCTCTTGAACTTATCAAATAATCTTAGACAATCACAAAGACTCTCCAAACATCAGAGTCCTCCTCAAGGAAATGGGTATCAAGCTTGTTCTTTTTATTTCACTGGGTTGTGTTGAGAATCAAAATGCACTCATTCCGTGGTGTGTTAGAGGGGTTAAGAACTCAGCTTCTAGAAACCACCTTCTTGGTTCACATTCCAGCTCCCCTAGTGTGACCCAGAGCGTACCCTTCAACCTCTCTGTGCATTGGGGCGGTTGGGTTTTTACGGAAAATGGCATTCACTTTAGAAAATGATAAACTTCCCTCCCTCCCCCCAACTACATGAATATCTGGTGGAATGTTAAAAAGTCGAGGCAGAAGCGGGCCAGACTGCGCGCTGAAGGATGGCTAACATCCTTGCCTCGGTCCACTGAATGCTGGCGGCCCCCACCCCACCTGTTACTGAGTGCGCCTGCCTCTCTCCGCGCCACTACTCTGCACCCTCACTCCTCACAATGTGGGGCCCAGCAGCGCTGGCATCACCTGGAACCTTCCAGAAATCAGGGTCTCTGGTCCCGCCCCAGACCTACTGGGTCAACCTCTGCAATCTAACAAGAGCCACCTTGCCCGGGAAGCCTACCCCCTGCCCTGCCCGCCGTCATCCTTCCCTTCTCTCTGTTACTCATGGTCTCCTCACCTTCTACCATGTCCTTGCTTTCCCTGTTGGGAATTGTCTACTGTAATTCCGGTGCCCGAGCTGCACCTGCCACGGAAGGAGCACTCAGCAAAAACTTGCGGGACCATGGCACGGCTCCTTACCCGACCGACTGTGGATGGAAAGCCTACTGTGCGCAAACCCCTGAGCCAGGTGCTTCCCCATCAGTCGTTTGCACAACGATCTTGCCAGGTGGACACTATTACCCCATTTCTCAAATGGGGAAACCTGGTTCCCAGAGGTTGAAGCGAACAGTAACCTCGGAGCTCTGACTCAACACCCGGGAGCCGTGTGAGTCAAAGCCCGGGCTCTGTGTGCTGGCCCCCGGATTTGGTGAGCTCTCCAAGGGAGGGGGTTCCCTGGCCGCACCCCTGGTTCAGGTGCACTTGCCTGGGGTGGACCCACACCTAGTAAACCTTTCCCACTGCTGGGAAATGCTGCAGCGGTGGGAAGTGGGTGAGTGTGTGTCTCTCACCCAGGCTCGGTTTCTTAGGGCAAGTCCTTCGAAGCCACCCCGCAAATTCAACACGGTTCCCTTTCCCCTGTCTTCTGTCTGGTGTGCTCTGATTTGTGCCCTTCAAGGTACCCTCGTGAGGTTGAGTTATTCTGTGATTACGCCTCACCTGTTCCCTTTAGACTGAAGCAGTGTTTGTCTGAGGAAACTAAACTCCCACAAAGCAAATACTGATTATTGCTTCGAGCCCAAGGATGTTGCCTGTTCTCCTGACAGACATTGACATTCTTTGAGAAGCAGGAAGTCAGAGCCAGAAAAAGCTTTACTAAATCTCTGCTTAGTACAAGAGGAGAAATACAAAGGGGCGTTAAGTAGGGGAAACAACCTCGCAGGTCGTTAAATCAGTGCAAAATGAAAGCAAGTGCTATTTTGGGGGTCATCTTAGCCAATTTTAGAAGCAATAGGGGTCAGTGTGGGCAAGGGTGTGGAGTGGCAGACATTCTTAGAAACTGCTTGGTATGTTTATTCAGGAATATTTGTAGCTATGAAAAATAACGTTGAAGAATATTAATATAGAAAATACACATTGGTAAATGAGCCTATAAGGTTACAAAATAGTATTATATTTGGGGCGCCTGGGTGGCTCAGTCGGTTGAGCGACTGCCTTCGGCTAGGGTCATGATCCCGGAGTCCCGGGATCGAGTTCCGCGTCGGGCTCCCTGCTCGGTGGGGAGTCTGCTTCTCCCTCTGCCCCTCCCCCCCTCTCGTGCTCTCTCTCTCTCTCAAATAAATAAATAAAATCTTAAAAAAAAGTAGCACATATTTATAAAAACAAAATGGTTCTACTACAGACATTGCACACAAGTGAAAGGATTATACCAAAATTTGACCCCGGAATGATGGGGTTATGCTTTTCTCTTAAAATTTTTCTGGGGGCTCATCTGTATTTCCTGTATTTTTTCCATAAGCGTGTAATGTTTTGGGAGGAAAAAAATAGTTTGCTTTACAGAAAAAAAAAAAAGAAAAAAGAAAAATCCAATCAGAAGGAGTGGGAACTTGGTGGTGTGAAGAAATACGTTAATTTTTTAGACTTCCTACGGGAGAAAAATTCCTACCAGAGTTCCTGTCTGGTTTTTAATTTTGTTTATACTTCTGTTTAAAAAACATCTAAAAAGGAATGCATTTATATCAGTGTTTTCATGGAGTTTACATTTTTCCTGCCAGAAGGTGTTGTGATTGGCTGGAGTGACCACGGGAAGTTCACTTTGGAACTCCTTAGATATGGAGGTTGGCAGAAGTTTGAGAGGGAGCAGATTTTTAATCAAAGAATTAAAAAGTCCAACTCCCCAGGTGTTTTCTTTAAAGATAAATTTGAGACGTGGGATGTCATCCTGGCATTTTGGTCACTTCTAAATAGGGACTGGCTCAAAATGTTCGCTCGGTCCATCATACAGAGGTGTGTGTGGAAATTCTTCATTTTTCCATTAATATTTCTGAACTTGTCTGGCTCTACTGATTTTTTAAAAGAGTATTGTATTTAGCTATCTACCCATATTAATGTGTTTTTGTTAAAAAACAATAAAAAAGGATGACTATATTATGGCCTATTCATCTAATGCAATACTGTTTTGGGAGTGACAATGAATGAGCTCAAACCACACCTGACCACCTGGATGAATTTAAAAAACAGAATACGTGCACACTAGGAATACTAATTATATAAATTCCAAAATCAGGTGAAACTAACCAATATGTGGTTTGGTTTACATTTAATACATTTAATACAAATACATTTAATACATATGTATATATTAAAACCATAAAGAAAAACAAGGATGATTAACAGGAAACTTTGAAACAGCATTTACTCAGGGACAAAAATGAGAAGAGATTGGACGGGGCGGGGTGGGGGCAGGTCCCTTCTGAGGTCCTGCTTATGTTATTTTACTCCAGCTGAGTGGTGGGGCCATGGATGTTCATTTTATAGTTACTATTTAACTAGAGGTATCCATTATATGTACTTTTAATATATGTTTCACCGTAAAAAAAAAAGGAGAAAAACAAAGGAAATGATTCGCTCAGCTTACGAAGGATGGCCACATTGTGTGGCATTTTCCAAATGGTAATGACTGTCCTATACTCAGTATGCATGGGGACAGTTCTAAGTCTCTACATGCATTAACTAACTGAGCCTCATCCCAATCTTATGAAATAGATCCCCATTTTACAGATGAGGAAACTGAGTCTACAGTGGGTAAGAATATTTCTCAAGATCACACGGCCACTAAGTGTCAGGACCCGGGGCCGAATGGAAGCCTATCCGGCTCCATGGCCACCATCTTGAACACTCGACAGTAATGATCTCAGTGTGCTCTTGGTGATTAGGATTTTTTTTTTTTTTTTTTTTTAAGAATACAGTTGACGTTGAACAATGTGAAGGTCAGGGGCACTGACCTCCTGTGCCATCGAAAATTCGTGTATAACTTCCAACTCCCCTAAAACTTAACTCATAGTCTACTGTTGACCAGAATCTTTACTGATAACATTTACAGTCAGTTGACACACATTTTGAATGTTATACGTATAATGTACTGTATTCTTACAATAAAGTAAGCTAGAAAAAAGAAAATGTTAAGAAAACCATAAGGAAGAGAAAACACGTCTATAGTACTGTACTGTGCTTACTGGAAAATTCTGCAGAGTCAAACCCACATTGTTCAAGGATCAGCTGTAGATGTGGTTTCTGCTGACCCCTCGCTTCCTGCCTTTGTGAAAGGAGAGGGCATCGAGGCTTGCTTGCCGTTACAGTAGCTAACTCGTGCCCTTTGGAGAAATCACCGAATGCTCCCTGCCTGCCTTAGCTAGTTCTCCTTTGCTCGTGCTCAGATTGACTTTTCTTACAAACCCCAGCAGCACCAATGGCTCGAATGAAAGTCCGGCTGAGTTCTTAGTGGCTCTTCTGGGCCAGCACTTCTGGGTTGCCTCCATGGGCTGCTCAACGTTGCAACTTGCTCCAAGATTCTGTTCCGGCTACAAAGAAAATAGAACCAGAAAACCTTCCCAAGGCAACAGTGGTAGAGACATAAATTATCTCGGGAATGTGGTTGACCAAAGGATGTGCTCTGCTGTCCTTTCATTATCTCAGGCTATACTTTCCCTGGCTAAGCGGGTACAGCAGCTGAATTGCTCAGAGACACTACTGTAAGCTGGTGGCCCGAGGAGTTCGGCCCCTCCGTGGTCTTCCAGGTCTCCTTCTGATTCTCTGTGCAACTTTTGGGTGGGTCCCGGCCTATTCTGAGCTCCGCTAATGTACTCATGAAATGAAGGATGAGTAATTACAATGCTTTCTGGATGCATTATAATTCTGGTCACCACGCTGGATGAGCCAGGGGAAACCTTCTCCGCACCCCGCAGTAGGGCAGACCTCATGCCTGGTGTGAGTGTGCGGGGATCAGATCTGCCCCGTTTTGTCACCTACAGGCCAGTCGTCCCGGGCCTGATGCATTTCTCTGGGTAGCTCAGTTTCTTGCTCTCAGAACGTTTCACACCTTCTCCAGTTCTTTCAAAACTCATTCAGATCTTCTACCCTGCTCCTTTTCCTCATTTTCAACAAATAAACATCCTTTTTACTTTTCAAATAAGAAAAAAAAGAATTAGCTCAGAATTGCCTAATCTTCTTGATATCACAATTAACCTCACTGGGTCTGTACCCAGCCTACTCTCCTTTCCCTCCTGAACAGAAGCAGCCAGTCGTCCGAGCGATACCTGGGTGCCCACCCTCTCCTGCCCTTACCGTTTCCTCCATGAACGACAGCACATCTTTTTTTTCTCCGCCTTTATGGTTTTTCGCCTTTGTCTTGATTTTCAGCAATTTTATTATGTGCCTACATGTGGCTTTATTTAAAAATAGTTTGCCTCTGGAATCCACAGTTAATGACTTAAGGAAGTTCTAGAAGATTAGGACGACCACCCGAGTGAGCCTTCTCACTTCAGTTCTATGGCTCCTTCAGGCACAAGACCGCGTACCCCTTCATGCCATAATGTTTACATAGAGCACTTCTAAATCAAAGTACTTCAAGGGCTTTCTCTATCTCCTTCGTAAATATTTACTGAGGATCTACCATGAGCCAGGCACTGAGCTGGGTGCTGGAGATACAGTGAGGGCAGGAACGTGCAGAGCCCTGTGCTCTCGAAACTTCCAGTGGCACGGAGAGGTGGGTGTGACCCTCCTTCCAAGAGAATGTTCTTTTGCTTCCAGCAGACAGCTAGAGTGAAGGTAAACAGCCCTTACCCATCTGGTGTTGAGCTCGTTCAAAGCTGGGTATCAGGCTTTGTGAGGACCGCCCCATTTCCTGTGGACTCTTGCTCCTGGGAAGGAAGCCGGGTGGGGGTGGGGGGTCCCCACTGAAAGTCTGGAGGTCACCAAGCGCCTCCTCTTTGGCGGGCTCCTCCAGGAAGAAGAACTTTGGAAAGCGTTTTTAAGTTTCTCAGCTGCTCAGTGAGAGCTTCCAAATCAGCAAAGCCCTTGAAGGGCAAAGAAGCATCTAGTGTCGCTCCCACTTCGCTGCATTTCTGCTTTCTCTGTGAACTTGGCGGCTCAAGCTCTTTGTGCCTTCAGGGCCCCAGACACCAGTTTTTGTCTCCCAGCCCTTGGCTTCTGAGCTCCGTGGCTGCTGCGTTTAGCTTGACTGCCCTGTCTTCCAGCCCTGCCGGCTCGCAGGGTTGTGGACAAATGCCTCAGAGGGAGACACAGAGCATCAGCTCATGCCCCTGGGCTTCTCTAGTAGCTTGGACCCTTGGTGCTGGCTGTCCTGGCAGCCCTACGACACCTTGAAACTGTTGGGGCTTAATTCCGTTTTCTGTTTGTTCTTGGCAGAGAAGTTGTTACACTGCAACTTAACCTGACGTGGCCTGAAGTGAGGCCCCGGGACGAATGCCATGTTAATCACTGGAATTTCTGAGCCCCTGCATTCACGCCCTGCTTCTGCTCTGCCAAGCATCCCTATCATTCCTTCTTCACTCTTGGGCACCTCCCTGATTCCTGCTGTCTTACTGCTCTTTGCCTTTGTGAGTGTGAAACGTAAAGACTGTTCTCCACTGGAACGATTGTGTGGGTGTTGGCAGATCCCATTTTTCAGAGCCACTGACTGGGTGCGGTGAAGTTAGTTGGTTCTTGGCATTAGTTAACTCAGTCTTTGGCTTCTGGGCCCCATAGAGGTTAATTCTGATGAGTTGTTGGTTTGGTTCGGTTTTGCTCTCTCTGCAGTGAGAGAGAAAGCCCCAGACTTTCGTCTTAGTTTCTTCCCAGGATGTTTTACAGCACGGAGGATCTCGCTGGGAATTAGAAGTGGAAATCCTTCAGGCTTCCCTATCTCTAAAGAGTCAGCACTGAGATTTCTGCCGGGGGATGGGGCAAATATTTAAGCAAGTGTAATAGTACGACAGCAGTTGGTTTGTCTCTTTAGGCACGGGCATTCCGTGCCACTTAGCTACATCACCTAAGCTCACAGTGCCTTAACTTATAGGGACAGTTCTGTTTTTCATTGAAATACCCATAAAAATTTAAACAGAATTTATTGTTGTCTTTGGGCTACGTCCTTTACACATTTTATTCCATTTACTTCTTACCGTGACCCCAGGAGACGAGTATTCATTTGTCCATTTAGACTTTGACACAGCTAATCAGTAGCAGCAGGATATGTCGGAACCCAGCTGTATCTGATTCCCAGTCCTGGTACTAAGCACCCCCGCTCTGCTGCTTTCCGCAGGGCTGTTCCTGCCACGGGTATTATCTGCCCTCCTGAGACTTATCTTTGCAGAATTGCGCGGGAGATAATCCACTTCATCCCAACTGATTTGTGTTAAAGAATAAGATTGTGTAAACTTTATTGCTAGGCAAACACCGTATTTGGGCTAGACCGGGCTTTCTGAGGATTTCCCATCTCCTTAGGACAGACTATGTGGCCACTTATTTCGGCAAAGTACAAACTGGCGTAGTATTAACTTATTATGAGTCAGGATGCATGTTTTGTGCGAAGTTTGATTAATTTGATATCTTGAAACCAGAACTGCAACAAATACATTAACTGTGAAGTAATTTATTATATCTGTCCTTCTTGATTTCAGGCCAGTCTAATTAGCATTAACAGCACTTGTACGGAGATGGGCAATTTTGACAATGCTAATATCACTGGAGAAATAGAATTTGCCCTTCGCTATTGCTTCAAAACCTGTTCTTTAGAAATATGCATCAAGGCCTGTAAGAATCTTGCCTATGGAGAGGAAAAGAAGAAAAAGTGCAATCCGTAAGTTTCTTTATCTAAGTTTTGACATTAGGTGGTAGGCGTATTGGGTCTAAAGTTTATATGGGAAAGTAAAAGTCCTCAAATAACCAAGACGATTGTTTAAAAGAACAGAACTATAAAGAAAACCTATTGAGAATGATTTTAAAGCTGTAGTAATTCAAACAATGGGTTATTGATGCAAGGGTAGGTAAGTAGGTCAGTTGAGTGGAATCAGAAGTCCAGATGCAGACCTTGGCCCTACTTGGAAACTTCTAGGATTACGAACAGAGATGAGCAACTTTTTTATGCATGCATTAGACACAGAGGGTTCCCCTTTTGTGAACTTCCCATTCATATCTTTTGGCATTTTTCTACTGGGTTGCTTGCCATTTTTTAATTTATTTACAGGAAGGTTTGGTTTGGTTTGGTTTGGTTTTGCTCTCTCTTCAGTGAGAGAGAAAGCCCCAGACTTTCTTCTTAGTTTCTTCCCAGGATGTTTTTGGCTACAACTCTTCATTGATTGTATGTGTTTTATAGATCTTCTAGTTGTTGCTTGTTTTCTAACATTGTTTATGATGGCTTTTCTTGAAAATAATTTGATGTCAAATTTGTCAGTCTTCTTTAAAATGTCTGTATTTTGAGTCTGTAGAAAAATTCTACCTGATGGTTATAAATATATCCTTCTCTATTTTCATCTATTAGGGTTTTTTTCATACTTTGATCCCTTCACCTTAGAACTAGAATTGATTTTCTGTAGCCTTCTTTTTTTTTTCTTACACGGAAAACTTTGAGCACACTGTTTTAATTACCAGTCAGGGAAAGGGGATGGATTGTCGGTCCAGCCAAACTCTGCTCTGCTCTGCAACCTTCAGGAGCTCCTCAGGGCAGGACACATGAAGTGCATCACTGTGGAGCACTTACGGGTCTCCATAACAGTGTCCCTCTTGTCCTTCTGGTTTCTTAACTTCTGTTATTCCCCCAACTTATACCTTTTGCTCCAGGAAAACTGGAATAGTCATTGTTTCAAAGCTGTCCCCTGATTTTTTCCAAAGAGAGGCTTTCCTCCTGTTTCTGTTGTGACTACTTTCCCTACACCACCCCCACAAGCAGCGACCATAATCCTGTCCCTTCTTCAGACTTCTGTCCAGTCCCATCAGACAGGATGGGACATTATTCTGCCCATGACTGTTCATGCATGCTGAGCCTTCTCTTGTAATTCTCAAAAGGACTATAGTGAGGTGGTTGAGGGTATGGACATTGAACCCTGGTCCACCATTTATGTGGTTTGACCTTGGACAAGTCACTCAACCTCTCCATACCTCACTGACACAGGGAAAATAATAGCACCTCCTTCAAAGGACTGTTGTAGTGTTTCCCGGAATTTTTCCATGTTAAGCCTTCAGAACGTTGTCTAGAACATAAAAAACATTCAACAAATAGTAAGCAAGTGAGGCACAAAGTGCACAGAGAAGTAGACCTAAAACTCCACAGAGGGACCCCCCCTTGAGGCTTTGGCCAAATTCTCAGGGCTCATACAGACAAGATTTCATGAGGTCTGTCACAGCCCGGTTACTGGGGTTGGTGAGCCACTGGGCGTGGCACAGTGATGGGGAAGATGGGAGCTCTGACCCGCCGGAGCCGAGACTGCTGAACACCCGGGGCATTCATTGGGACGCAGCTGTAGGATTTCTCTAGCCTCAGAGTAGGGGCTACTCCAACTCACCCTACCTCAGCCAAATCAAGCCTTGATAGGTCGAACTGAGTTGCCTGTCAGTGAAATGCCTACTAGAATATTAAGTCAATACTTTTTAAAGGAGAAACAGCCCAGAGAGGATTCTGGGAAGGTGGCAGGGTGGGAAGCCCTGGGAAGCGGTCTCCCCTTGTAAGACAATGATTGCACTGGTAGAAGCTCTCTCATGAAACGGTTTTGGAACTGCAGTCTCTTGAAGGCTTGCAACTTCCGGCAGAAGACTTGGATGGTACATTGGGGTTAATTTCAGTCAATTTCTGCTCTTAGCCTAATAGCTGCTCTCCCTCCCCCTACTCCCAGCCACATGGCAGGCAGCCGGGCTGGTGTTTCCGGAGCAGCTTACGCACCGCTTGCAGGAGTCATCGTGGGCAAATAAAGGGATTCTGTCCTCCAAATATCAGGGTTATGTGCTCTGACTGCAGACTGCTGCTTCTGTCACAGAGGTGCAGACCCAGAAGCAGGCAACCACTGTGGCAATTTCCTCCAGTTGTTGGGGTCCCCTTCCCATCTGGGGGTCCTCAGGAGGATTACCAACAGATTTCTCATCAGATCCTTTAGAGGCCAGGAGGCAGTCAGTAGATCTATTCAAAGTGCTAAAGGAAAAAAAACAAAACAAAAACCCCACCTGTCAACCAAGAATCCTATATCCAGCAAAGCTGTTCTTCAAACGCAAGGGATAAACTAAAACATTCTCAGATAAACAAAAGCTGAGGTACTTTGTCCTGCAGGAAATAAATACTCAAGGGAGCCCCCTGCAGGGTGAAATGGAAGGACACCAGACGGTATCTCAAGGTCATGCGAAGAAATAGACCTCAGGAAAAGCAAATACACAGGCAATGATAAAAGCTAGTATTATTTAACAATGGTGTGTACTTCCACCTTATATATTTTAAAAAATTATTTGTCTCTTATTACCGCTGTTTGTTTGTAACTTTGGTTTGTAACTCCACACTTTGTTTTTGACCTAAGAGACCAATGCATTTCAAAGAAGGATTAGTTTGTGCTTTTGGTTACACAGTGTAGAAAGGTGTAATTTTGTGACCTCAGCAATGCAAAGAGGTGAGTTTGGCACTAGGAAGGAGCAGAGTTTTTGTTTGCTATTGACGTTAAGATGGTAAAAGTTCAAAGTAGAGTGTTATAACTCTAGGAGATGAGATGTAATCCCCTTGGTAAGCACAAAGAAAACAGCTACGGAACATATACAAAAAGAAATGAGAATGGACTTTAAACATTTTACCACAAAATTCAGCTAAATACAAACGAATGGGGGGTGCCTGGGTGGCTCAGTTGGTTAAACAGCTAAATTTTGGGTCAGGTCATGATCTCAGGGTTGTGAGATTGAGCCCGGGCTCCAAGCACAACAGGGAGTCTACTTGAGATTCTCTCCCTCTGCCCCCACCCCTCACGTGTGCGCATGCCTTCTCTCTCTCACTCAAATAAGTAAATCTTTAAAAAAGTAAATACAAAAGAATGACTATAGTACCACAGTAAATGGGAGACACTAAAGCTAGAAGGTATACAGAAACAAATAGCAAATGACAGAAGTCCCTCCTTATCAGTAATTACTTTCAATGTAAATGATCTAGACCCTCCCGTCAAGAGGCAGAAATTGTCAGAATGGATAAAAACACAGGGTCCAGGGCACCTGGGTGGCTCAGTTGGCTAAGCGACTGCCTTCGGCTCAGGTCATGATCCTGGAGTCCCGGGATCGAGTCCCACATCGGGCTCCCTGCTCGGCAGGGAGTCTGCTTCTCCCTCTGACCCTCCCCCCTCTCATGTGCTCTCTCTTTCATTCTCTCTCTCTCAAATAAATAAATAAAATCTTAAAAAAAAAAAAGAACTAAGCATTTCTCTTAGAAAAAAAACAAAAAAAACACAGGGTCCAGCCGTTACTGGAATCAGTAGTCCTTGGCATCACCGAAGCGGCCAGAGGAGCCAGGAAAGGGCAGTGTGAGGACCTCAGCGGAGGGGTCAGTCTAGAACAGGATTTCAGGGGACGGGCAGAATGCAGGTGGAGAGGCCCCACAAGGGGAAAGTAAAGGGTGAGGCATATACTTCCTATTTTCACATTCTTTTTTTTTTTTTTTTTTTGGTGGGTTGGAGGAAGTGACAGGTGAAGGGAGGACAAGCTGACACAGGACCTCCACATCCAGGCAGGTTCTCTAACCTGCCACCCGTGGAGCCCCAATAGCCCAGCCTCTGGATCCGTGGTCATCACCACATAGGCAGGTAATAAGCGATTTAGATGCTAGGGGTAGGGCAGGAGGAGAGCGAGGGAGCTTTACACCCCCAGGAACATTCCAGAGGATTATGGCCAAAGACTGTATAAGCCAGAAAGTGTGTAGCCAGCACTGTCCTTGCTCCCCACCAAGCCCTTTCCGTCAACCCCCAATCCAGGGGGAAGCGGGGTAAAGAAAATGCTGAGGTCTGATTCTCCTGCTCCCGAACACTTTGTCCCCCTGCCCCCCCAACCCCCTTGCTGAGCTCTCACCTTGTCCTGTCTGTGTCTGGCCACTAGGTACGTAAAGACTTATCTACTGCCTGACAGATCCTCCCAGGGAAAACGCAAGACTGGAGTCCAAAAGAACACGGTGGACCCAACATTTCAGGAGACCTTGAAGGTACTTGCTGGACAAATATTCATGTGCTAAGTCTCCCCGTCCCGGGCTGGGCACCCGGGGCCAGATTTCAGCAGTGTTCTTCTAATTGAGTTAGTTAAATATAAGTACAGACACTTATACGTTTCTGTAGGGCTCTGTCAATCAGTGGCAAGTTGGTAGAAAATAAATTTCAGCCTTTGCACAGGAAAAGTGCAGAGTCTGCTGGACTCGAGAATGGCTCTTGATTAATGATTTCTGAGAAAATGGTGAAAAAGTACCTGGCTGCCTCTCAATCTCCAAAATTGGTTTGTCCAGTTGAATTTTTATGACTCCCAGAGGGGTACTCTCAAGCAGGCTCCGCTGTGAACTACTGAGTTACTATCTTCACAAAAGTGTTCCTTTATTGTAATAATCTGGCAGCCCTAGGTTTCTTCATCTTTTATGAAAAAAAAAATAGTCATCTTATGAAAAACATTTTATAGAGGAATTGTTTGGGTTTTCACTTTCTTTGGTGCTAAGAAACAGGATTTGTGATGTGGGGCAGAGAGGGAGCGACTACGGGGATTTAGGGTGGATGGTTGGAGACGATGTGTGGCAGCGGCCGAGAGCTAGGTGTCGGAGGCTTTGCACTGGAAGAACCATCCAGATCCACAGGGATGTACCCAGTCAAGGCTGGGCAGCCCAGGGACCCCACATGTCAAGCCTGCACAAGGAGAGGGCTTGGTTTGCCTTCCTTGGCAAGTAGGGGCATTTCTGAACTCCCAGCCAGGGACCGTCTGGCCAGTTGGCAGGAGCCCCATTTGTTAAATAATAAAAGCCATTGTTTTCTGTGTCCCTGCTGTGGCCAAGTGACCTGAGCTACTAGAATCCTCTTTTACCAACGGGGAAACTGAGGCTTAGAGAGTATTCAGAATTACAGCTCTAACTCACGATGGACTGGCAGTCCTTCTCAAGATTTATGGTCATGGGACTCCCCCAGAGGATTTTTTAAAAAACAGACTATGATTCAGCAGGTGTGGGTGGTACCCAAGGGATCCCCGTCTGAGACCCCTCTGGTAGCAAGTCAGTAGACATGGGTCATTGCGTAGTTTTGTCCGTATCTGCTGAAAGTTTTGAAAAGCTCCGTGCCCCCTCAGACATTTTAAGTTCATATCCAAAATCACTCATTGTTAAGTTTAATTAAGGTGTTTTGTACTAAACAGGTAAACAAATAGTTCACATTTTATGAAATTAGGCGAAGATGAGGACTGAGTATATTTTAGATACTATATAGTTTGATTTTTAAAGTTTTAACTACCTGATTTAACATGCAGGCAGAATCTCAAAGAAATCGCCCCCAATTTTTATCCATTGGTTTTTACCCAATATATTGTGGATATATCGGTTGTCCCGGAAAACTTCCCAGATATATTGAAGGGAAGCCACGTCCCTCATCTCGTCTAGAGTCTAGAAAGCGATCCTCCAGGTTTTCTAGGCAGGGCGCTCCATGGGAAGACTACCGTAGGGAGCCTGGGAAGGTGCCACGCGACACCGGATCTGGGGTCCGTGTCCGTGAGGCTGGGGGCTCAGGAGAGGCGGGGGCAGCCGCACAGCCTGCTGGCACCGCCCTGGGGGTGGAACAGGGCGCTGGGGGAGGAGGTCTCTTTCGAAAAAGGGATTCGGTCAACCAAAAGGAGTCGTGTTTGTGGGCGGGGGGGCCACCGTGTTGCTTGGACCCCTGAGAGGCAGGCCCCCTGCACGGGGTGGATGGGCCACACTCCGCCTGAGGGGGCGGCCGTGGGGGACGGGCAGCTGCCCGCCTGGGACAGTCCACGCTCAGGGGAGCAGGGGCGGTGCCGGGAGCTGGCAGCCTCGGCAACTAACTGGCCGTGTGGCCGTGAAGGGGACAACGAGACAGACTGAGTGACTCTGAGGGCAGAGTCAGACACGGACTGTGGGCGCCTGGATGGCTTGGACGGTGGAGCGGGCGACACTTGATCTCTGGGCTGTAAGTTCGAGCCCCATGTTGGGCGTAGAGATCACGTAAAAAAAAAAAAAAAAAATCCTTTAAAAAGAAAGAGATTTAAAAAAAGAAATGGGCCACGGACTTGAGGGAAACCGACTGAAAATGAGCCCAGGACGGTAGAGGGATGTGGCTTCTGACGACAATGGGCACGGATAGTCCCAGAGGGAAGAAAAGGAGGGGCAGGTGGGGCATGCAGCCAGGCCCCGAGGGGGCGTTTGCAGGCCTGGGGGCGGGGCAGGCAGACGCAGCTGCAGGCCGTCCCTGTTGGGGAGACCGAGGGAGACTACTCTGCTCCACACTACTCTGCTCTGTTACAACTGCTCCACACACCCGTGTCACTCCCCTCTCGAGAGGCCACCAGTGGACGGGCACGAACGGTGCGCAGATGGGTCTCAGGCAAACCAGTGTGGCCACTCTAAGTGGGGGTGAGGCCTGGCAGTGCGACAGGTGGTCCCCGGGAGGAGCCAGGACGCCAACCCCAGCAGGGAGCTGCCGAGCCAAGCCTGGGCGTTTCCCCTGTAAACTGTCGATCGCTAACACGGACCTCAGGGGACGCTCCTGGAAGCTAAGGAGCAATGGAACCAAAAGCCTAGCGCAGAACAAGGGTTCAGTAAAGTGTAACCTTTTTTTTTATTGAGAAAATCCAATGAATAGGCTTGGAACAGGCTCGCAGAGGCTGAATGGAGTGAGCGGCTCTTGGGAAGCCTGGCTGTGTCCGGGCCTTCGGGAGGGGCCGGGGTACTCTCACCCAGGGCCTTTGGCCTCAAGTCCCCGTGGGGGCGGGGGCCCACCCTCGGCTGGAACGGGGGTGGGGGGACAGACTTTCTTGTCCTCTTGCTGTGCTGAGGCTCCTGTCGGGGGACAGTGAAGAAACAGCTCCGTGTGACCCTGAGCACGACGAGATAGGCCTGGCATCGTCCGTCTAGGTAAAAGCCCATGCTAAAAAAAAAAAAATCCTAGCTTTCAGTATCTTTGAAAAGCCCTGGCCAGGCAAGTTCGGTTCCTGAGCTGGGACAGATCTTGGCTTCATTTGGATGGGGCCTTCCCTCCTTGCCTGGGGCACAGATCTGGATTGTGGGAGGGGGTCTCTGTAGCTGCCCAGCCTTTCCCCCAGGCTGAGTGCTGGCTACGCGGCTGGTGGAGGAGGTGGTTCTGTGTTTGAGAAAGCAGAGACCACCCCCCAACCCCGCTCCAAGCTGCTCAGCTCACCCTGACCACACCAAGATGCTGGCTCCAGCCTGCATGAGGAAGGCCCCTGTGGCCCGGGTGCCCGGAAGCTGTGGGTCTCCAGAAGCTGTGCGTCCCTGGAAGCTGTGGCCCCAAGGGGCTCTGGACCACCCCCCCACCATGCCCCCGGGGGCTATGGGCCCTGGAAGCTGTGGGCCCTGGAAGCTGTGGGCTTGGGGAGACGTGGGCCAGGAACCCAGACCAACTGCCTCTGCTCTGTCTTTGCAGTACCAGGTGGAGCCCAGCCAGCTGGGGGCCCGGTGGCTGCAGGTCTCTGTGTGGCACCTGGGCACGCTCACCCGGAGGGTGTTTCTTGGAGAGGTGACCATCCCTCTGGCCACATGGGACTTCGAAGACAGCACAACACAGTGTTTCTGCTGGTATCCACTGAGGGCCAAGGTGAGGTCTGGTTTGGGACTGGGCTACCCCACCCCCACCACGAAAACAAAATTCCCTTTTCAAAGGGGTTCTGGAAGAGAAAACCTACCCGGGAAGCCTTGGACCCAAGACACCACCACGTGCTTGCCTGGCTGGGGCTCTTCAATAGGAACTTCCCCGGGAGGAAAGGCTCCGCGTCAGGCTCTCCTGGGTGGGGTAGGGAGCGTTCCCTGCTCAGGTTTGCTCAAGTACCTGAGAGCCCCTTCCTCACTGTAGCCTGAACATCAAGCCTGGGTCAGGTCTAGGGGGTTGGGCCTCCTGTGATGGCCTTGTGGGCCCACGTGCTCCCCTCCCCAAATTCAGGGTCACTTGGTTTCAGCAGGGGAGCCCTCGGCTCGCTGCTCCTGCAGCCGGAGGCGACCACGTGCGCCCTGCAGCCTGCCCCCAGTCCTGCGGCGCGACTGCGGTTTCTGCACTCCTGCCCCAGGCCCTCCCAGAGCAGAAACGGCTGAGAACGGTGGCCGATGCGATCAGGAGGGCCAGGGCGGCCGCGACCCGCAGGGACTCAGGGCAGGGCGCGGGAGCGGCCCGGACAGGAGGCCTGCTCGCAGGCTGTGCCGGTAAGAGGAGAGCCTGGGGAGAAAGTCTGCATTTCTTGGAGCAACTGCTCTGCGCTTTCTGTGCCAAGATCCAAGCACAGAGCGGAGAGGGGACCGGGGACGGCTGAGATAATAGGGGTGGAGGAAGCGTGGGCTCCTTCATCTCCTAAGAAAATGGCCACGCGGTGCCAGTCCCACCGGCCAGAGTCTGGCCACGAGGCTGAGGCGTTCCCGGGCCTGGGCCAGGTTCTGTGCGCCGTCTCACCTCCGCGGGCCTCTCTGAAGCCAGGGGGCTGATTGGCCGGCTCTCGGACTTCTCGCTACCGTTGGGTCAAGCCAAGGATCTCCTGCCCGGGAGCCGCCCGTCCCACCTCCCCTGCCCCTTTCCCTCTACACTGCTCTGCACGGCCCCGGCATCTGCGTTCCGCACCCGTGCTCACCCTTCTCAGAGCCCGTCCTCAGACGTCCATTTGGGATGTCTACTTGGAATGCTTTCCTCTAGCCACGGTCAGCCCAAGACTTAGCCGAAATCCCACCTCCTCCATGAAGGCTTTCCTGCATCTCATTTTTCACGATTTTCCCTGCCAGTGTGCTTTCCCCCACGACCCACCCATCTGTTCCCTCTAGGGCCTTGCTCAGGACAAGACTAGTGGCCCCCGAGGCTGCTGGCGAGAAGGTGCCAGGCTAAAGGACGTCCTTCCTAACACCGGCTAATAGATAGTGACCCCCCTGGCTGGATTGGGAGTATCCTGCTTCCAGGCCTGCCCCCTCGGCCCTGACAGGAGGAGCCCATGGGGTTAGCGCAGGTTTCCAGAAGCTGAGGGTAGAGACAGCTTTATCTCATCTGGCACCCGAGGGCCAGCCTCCTTCCTGGGAGGCAGCCAGGAGCCCATGAAGAGACACTGCGGAGCAGACAGGGGCCGGCCCCGCCCTCTCCTAGGAGTCCTCGGGAGTCCACTGACCTACAGGGGCTTGATTTTATTCCCTTTCTTCGAAGAACACTGGCTGTGTGCAGGTTTTCTGAGGACTATCCTATGGGAACGTGCCAGGGCCTTTGAGCCCCCTCACCTCCTCAAGGGATGGGGTGGGAATGGAGAGTCCCATCGATAGGAGAGAGACCAGTCCTGCCATGGGCATGTCCACTCCACCCCAGGGCACCCCCCAGCCTGCAGAGGCTTTGCAGGGGTGAGTGGGGGGTGTGGAGGTGGGGCACTTATGGACAGAGCTGGGGCAATCAGAGGAGCCCAGAAAGTTCTGGGGGCTGAGGAATCCTGCCTCTGAGTTCTGTCTCTTGCCCCCAGGCAGAGAAACTTGAAGACAGCATTCTTCCCAGTAATGGAGAACTTGAAGTCCGGGCCAAACTGGTCTTCCCTGCAGGGCCCAGAAAGCTCCAGGAGGCCCAAGAAGGTAGGTGGCCTCCAGCCCCATGACTGTTCATCTGTCAGTTTCCAAAGCCTGGAGCAGCAGGTGGGTTGAGGACTTCCTTTCTGGCACCCACTAATCCTGCAATGCTCCAGTAACTTTCCAAGATCTGTGAAGCTCAGCCTGGAACGTGGGTTCTTGGAACCTACGGTTTGGAAGGGAAATGAGGGAGCAGAGCAGGCCAGGCCTCTGATGCCCACTGTACAGGGAGGGCTCTTAGGACAGCAGCTCTGGGGCTTTCCTCCCAGGGGGCTGGCTCAGACCGTCTCCCTGGTGCAAACCATCCCGCTGCCGCCCCTCTGGGAGAGGGAATGCTCCCATGCCCACCTGCGTTACAGTTGGGAGTGTGGCTCCTTAGGAGCCAAGAGTGCATTTTGAGGCGCTGGGGCCTGCAGGGCCGAGTGAATGCACCCCTGCTCCCAAGTTCTGTGAGCTGTTGCCCAGCAAGAGAAGGCATCAAGGACAGGCTCTTGAGGACCTTATGGGAGGTCTAACTAAGTGAAATAAAGTGGAACGTACGGAAGAGAGGAGGGTGAAGAAAGAATACACAATTCTGTGATGTAGTTAGCGATCTCTTATTTGCCTGAAGAGGAAAGTCTGCTTCCAGAGCTCACGGCGCCACCGGCATCTGCAGTCATTGCCAGCGCCCTAGAACACGTCTTAGGGCCCCTACTTTCCCCCAAACCACTGCCCGCACTTGACCGCCAACCTCTACATCATTCCTCTCCTTGGATCCCTCTTATCTTTGTAGCTTCCCAGGATTTTAGTGAGCCCTCCCTCCTGCCACCATGCCGGCCTTGCAGCGGGACGGCCCGTTTGCAGGGCCAGCGGAGCCTTCCCACCTGGATACGCTCCTCTTCCCGTCTGCTGTCTTGGGCTCTCCAGGCTGTCACACACCCTCCCGCTGAGCTTTCAGATTTGGGGTGGTGGCATTGCATGCTCTGTGCAGTAGGGCTCACAGCAAATGCCAGCTTTTCTTCCAGGGACAGATCAGCCATCCCCTAATGGTCAGCTTTGTTTTGTCGTGCTGGGAGCCAAGAATTTGCCTGTGCGGTCAGATGGTACCCTAAACTCATTTGTTAAGGGGTAAGTATTATATTTAATCAATTGTTTACTGATAATCTGTACATGCATGTGGCATGGTCTTAGAAACTACAGCAAACACCAGGAAGTACATGTAAGCCATTCAGAACTTGTATTTTAGTTTTCCCATGAAAACCCAAGGTAATGTGTTCAAGATTTCCAAGAATTCATGGGATTTGGACCTGCTGAGACTAGTTGTGGAACACTGTATTTTAACCTGAAACCCAGATTTTATTGGTTCTTGTTACATCAGCATTTTCTGACTCAAAACAGCTTGGAAAAAGCAGTGTGGCTGGTATTATTCCCTTGCCTTCGCATCTCCTCTTGGATTAACAGTAAGGTGGGCTCTGCTTAGGTCATTCTAACTCACTACCAGTGTGTTGGTGTCTCCAAAAGCAAAGCAAACACCATTAATTATTATACAGAATTGCTGCAGCCCTGGGTCAATGACATGATGGGAAACCCTGGCTTCCCATGCCAAGATCTGTGTTCTGTCCGCAAGCTGCCATTATCGTAGGACCTTGGGCAAGTTACGTGGCCCTTCTGAACTTGTCTCCTGAGAACAGGGTTAAAATGAGAGAATGTGTGTGCAGAGTCCTGGTCCCTGGAAGCATGTAGGTGGTCGGCCTCCCAAGGAGGGGGATTAAGGCAAGGGCCATGTGGCCTGGAATCCCAAATGACCCTTCGCATCTGGTGCAGAATTCAGCCCTAACTCTGGAACATCCTAGTGAGAGGTCACATGGCTGATCTTGCGATTTGCATTCTTGCTCCTGGCTTGGAATTTTTCTTTGGGAGCGGATCTAGCCCTTGGTCTCACGATGGCCAGCACTGCAGCATCGCCGGGGCAGGAGGTTGGGCCGGCAGTCCAGAGCCACTCTCTCTCCCTCCCGCAGCTGCCTCACTCTGCCAGACCAACACAAACTGAAACTGAAGTCCCCAGTTGCAAAGAAGCAAGCTTGTCCCCAGTGGAAGCACTCCTTCGTGTTCAATGGCGTGAGCCCTTCCCAGCTGAGACAGTCAAGCCTGGAATTAACCGTCTGGGACCAGGCCATCTTTGGTGTGAACGACCGCTTGCTGGGGGAAGCCAGGCTCGGTTCTAGTAAGTCTGAGAGATTTATTGGGCCTAAGTGGCATGCTTTGTCCTTAGCGAAGATCTTACACGGTGACCACTAAAAAGACAATTATGCTTCCACGTTGGCAGGTGATAGAACTAGCTTGGAAACAGCTTAACTCACTGTTAAATGGAGATTGCGACATCTAATTCTTACTCTACAAGGGAGTGATAATACAGCCAAGTATTTCAACAATTTATATCAGATTTAGATCTGCTAAAGAAACAAAAATTACAGGCCTCAGAATGGGCTGGGTACAGTTATTTGCTTTTGTTTCTGGCATCAATCATAAAAGGATTAACTTCAAGGAAAATATCTTAATCCAAACAGATGGCAATTCAGAAAGTATTTCATTAAGAGTGGGACAAAAGGGCGATGCTTTTCAGCATTGCTCAACTGGGGTGCTGGTGGCATGGTGTGGGGGACAGCCCTTTGTGGGGAGGGCTTGCACACCCTGGCCCCTACCAGTGGTGCCCCTCGAACACTGTGCCAAGCAAAAATACCTGCACACATCTCTAGGACCTCCAGTGGAGGACCTCTGAAGACAAACCAGATTCAATGTTCAATTAAAAGGAACATTGTCCAGAGATGCCTGTGGGTGGCTCAGTCGGTTGAGCGTCCAACTCTTGATTTCAGCTCAGATCCTGATCGCAGGGTCCTGGGATCCAGCCCTGGGTCTGGCTCTCTGCTCAGCAGGGAGTCTGCTTGTCTCCCTCTGCCCCTCCCCTAGCTTGTGCTCTCCTTCTAAAATAAATGGGTAGATCTTTAAAGATAAGATAGAAGGAATATTGTCCAAGGACACACCCCCCTTCCTATAAGGGAGTCCTGTCTGTCTGCATATCTGGCCCCAGGTCTGAGGCCACCCCACCAAACCACAGCCATTGTAATACGTTAAGACTGTCGAGTCCCCTTCTTGAAGAGCCCACCCCCCGCAAACATGTTTTCTCCTTTCAAACTATGGGAAAGAAGGCAGCTTTGGGCTCTTGCAGCTGCACAGCATTTAGGAATGAATGCCTCAGTGTGTCCGGTTCTGAGTATGGTGTTGGGTGGGGGTGGTCTTGCTCTTCCTCACCAGTGGTTGGCGTTTTCATATGGTCTTGAGGTTAAAAACACTTTAAAAGTTGGTCATTTTAGAAAGCCGAGAAGAGGGCTGGTAAGGGGGTATGCCTATCACCCATTACTAATTAGTCACTTCACTCCCATCACAGAGGAAGACGGAGCTGCTGGTGAGGACTCAGGCTCACCGTCAGAGCGTCAATGGCAGAAAGTTCTTTCTAGCCCCAATCTGTGGACAGACATGACACTCATCCTGCACTGAAGCCAGGGTTCCAGTCTGTGGCGAAAGGGTCAAGTGTCGCAGGCCTGACAGTTAGCTGAAGCCGCGGGCATGGACACTCACCGTCTGCACCTCTGTCCCGGAGCCCAAATGTTCTTCCACATCCCTCTGTGTGTAGAGCACTTGTTGCTATTGTAGAAATAAGTCTCAGTTTGGTTTTCTGTGCTTTGAGACATGTGGAAAATGGCCAGATTTCAATAAATGTTCATTACCTCTGTCCCCCAGCGCCTGTCAAACACTGAGGATTAGGGCCTTGTTATATGCATTTGAAGAACTAGAGCCTGGTGCTGCTTTCTGGAGGGGGCTCCCCATGCGGGGCCGGTCAGCGCCCAGGTCCACCGGAGAGGCCGCAGGGCCCCCGCCCCCGACGCGCGCCAGTACACAGCCACGGCCACCTCTTGTCTTGCACAGCTTTTATTTTTCAGGTCTGTGGTGCAGGGCTCACCTGCACACGGCTCTTACCCAAGCATGAGAAGGAGCCAGTGGAGTATGAGAGCTGACATTTCGACAGGTTTTCAAGGATGCGGTAGAGAACTGGTGAGGTCAGAACAGGTTCTTTTTGTGGAAACAGAGGGGCTTCGAAGAGTCCCTCTAGAGCTGGAGTCTGGATGAGCCAAACAGCGTGTTTTTCAAACAAGCTCGGATAGAAAACTGAAATGCGCACAATTACAGGCACAAGGGCACTCAAAGTAAAAGTTATTTTTACAGATGTGATTACAGCTGTTAAGCCACCTCCTTACTGCCCTCACGTCAGATCAAGTGCCATGGTTACAGGGTTTTTAATACGTAATTCTTTTATTCTGTAAAAGGTAACAAAATATACAGAATGAAACTTTCCTTTTAAACTAATGTTATAAACCCATATTGTCACATATAAATACACTTCTCTACAGCTGATCATTAATTAATTAGGTGTGAGTCCAACAATGCCCTCTGTTAAGCAAAAAAAAAAAAAAAACCCCCCAAAACCAACAAAAGTTTATCCAAGGCTGGAGTGTCCTCCCTGCACTGTTGATCCTGAACTGAAAGAGCAGAGAAGAAAAATCACCGTGTGCATGTGTGTGTATGTGCTTTAGACCGTCTTCAAAATAATTTTCACCTCTCAAAACATAAATATACAAAGACGGATCCTTCACGGAAATCAAAATCAATCTGAGCTAATTTCAGATGCAGAAGAAAGTATGGCACGGACTAGAAGCCCCGATGTGGTTTTATGGACGCTGAACCTTGTGTCTCACATGTGCCAGCAGCAAGTCTGTTACCCAGACTTACAGGCATCTGTCCTTAATTCAGTCAGTCCTGCTGTAAGCACAAACAGGAAGTGATTCAATAACAGCAATAAAAAAAAAAAAAAAATCAGGCCTGTTTGGCACTATGATACAATTGGGAAAAATAAACCAGGGAAGCTTCCATTGACCCCAGCCCTAGAATAGTCCCACTGCAATAACTACTGTCTTTTTAAAGGAACTGGAATATGATGGGGGGTGGGGGGGGAGGTGGGGGTCCTAGATTCAAAGAACTACAAACACCAGCTTCAGAGATTGACCGCGACCCCCCCCCCCCCCCCCAAAGCCCGGGCCTGAGGCCCCCCCCCCCCCCCCCCCCCGCCACAAGCCTGGCCATGAGGCCCCCACCCCTGCCCCAGTCCTGGCCGGGCCTCACATGGCCTCGAACTCGTCGATCCGCTGCTTGGTGTTGCCCTGCCGGATCTGCCGCAGCGTCTTGTACTTGTCCCGGCCTTGCCGCATGTTCTCGTTGTGGATGATGTCGTTGTGGGTCCTTTTGTTCTCATCTCTGGCCTGGGACAGCTCATTGGTCAGGGTCTGCAAGGGGAAGCAGCTCTGGTCAGGTGTGGCCCAGGAGCAGCGGGGAGCTGGGTGGGACGGCTCCCCTCCCCTCAACCCCTGCTCGGGCCACCCCCGCCCGCCCCGGCGCCCTCACCATCAGCTGCCGCTGCACCCGCTCGTTCTTCTCGGCTTCGGTGATGCGCTTCTCCTCATTGCGGTCATCCAGGATGCCCTCGCTGGAGAGCTCAGCGCTATAGCCCGTGTACTCCGTGCCCTCGTCCTGCAGGTTGTCCTGCACGTGGTAGCTCACCGGCTCATAGACAGGGGGCGGTGGGGGGGCTGTCATCACTAGGTGCAGCTCCTCCTTGGTCTTCACCAGGTCATCTTGGGCTTCTTTGGCCTTTGAAAGCAATTCGTACACAGAACCCAGTGTTTAGACCATTTTCGGGAGACTCCCCTTTTCAATGACAAGGCGGCTTCTGCGCCTTCTCTCACCAGCCCCTGCCTTCTCCCGGGCGGGCTGGACGCGGGCTGGACGTGGGCTGGACGCGTGTGGCCTGAGTGGCACAGAGCGGGGGGTGGGGGTGGGGGTGTGTGGCTGAGGAGACGCGTCCCCACGCAGCATCTGCCCAACCTCTTCCGAGTCTGGGGCTCTGGATTCTGTCAATAGTTCTCAACTGTGCTCTCAGCACAAAGAGGGAAAGTCATGTCAGGGACTTTTTTTTTTTTTTTTTTAAAGAACCATAACTACTTTTTTTCTGTCTCTAATTCTAGTATATGTTCACTGTATGTGTTTTGGGGGGAAAAAAAGGGAAATTATGAAAGAAAGAAAAACCCTCCAGCCATGAGAAAATGCCGCTGCCCCGTATTAAGAGTACAGCCTTGTTCTCCTTCCTCGTGCGGCCGCCATTTCTGAGGCTTCTTGCCGCCCGGCGCAGTGCTCAAGCACTGTCCTTCCTGTTGTTACCCCTAAACCTTCCAGCAGCTTCTCTTGGGTACACATCCCCAGTCATGCCCACCTCACTGCCATTCCAACCCCGGAGATGAGCTTAGTTTGAACCTGTTCTGCAACCAGCTTTTCTCAATGAACACTTTCTCCAAAAACCTAAGGACAGAACCAAGTCCTTCGCGCACAGCCTGTATTCAGGGAGCGGGGCGTACGAGTGCTGAGGAGGCGCCCCGAGCGTCCCCAGAAGGGGCCAGTGCAGATGGGCAAGCATGGGCAAGGGCAGGTGGGAGGGGTGGGGAGCGGTCTCAGCTTGAGCTCCCCTGGGGACCGTGCTTTCCTGGTGCGTGTGGGGGCTCAGCTGGAGAGATGGGCTCTCTGGACATTGCACTGGAACATGGGTCTCCCAATTACAGCTACGGTTTATTCAACCTCTCCGCAGGGTGGTCCCCAGAACCTTAATAGGGTGGCTATTACTCCCCATCTCTAACAAGGAAACGGAGGCTCAGAGAGATCAGGACACTTGCCCCATACACAATGGATGACAGCAGAGTTGGGAGCCTTGTCCCCGGTCTTGAGACCTCCAAGTCCAGATCTTTCCATCGTGCCATGCTGCATACACCAGTGGTCAGGAGAGATAGGAGGTCTTGTTTGAGGTGCTGTGGCCTGTCGCTGGGAGCACCCACGTGACCAGATTAAAAGCTAGCTCCTGATGGGGGTTGCATGATGGGGCTCAACAGTTTGGGGTGGCCAGAACACGTGGGTGCAAATGAACAAGAGGCTCCTTGGTCCCTGCTAATCCAACAGTGGATTCCCCAGTACACAGAGCAAGCCCATTCCTATGTGGATTTCAGCCTATAAGAAGCACAGCTGGAATTGGCAGAACATTGCACAACATCCTGAGCCTTCCCCTGCGACCCCCCAGCCTGGGCCCAGGCCGTCTTCCCCGCCCTGAGCACCTGCACCTGCAGACTCACCCTGTGCTGCCACTCCTCGACCTCGTCCTCCTTGCGCCGCCGCGCCTCCTCCAAGAGGGCGATCTTGGCCGTGTACTCGGCTAGCTCTGCGGCCTGGTGAAGGGCACGAAGCTGAAATGATTTCTGGGGTCTTTGGGGAGAGCCCTTTTGCAAATGGACAGCCACATATTTTGCTGACGGGCCTCGTCCCCACCTCCTCCCCACCCAATCAGCAGTGCCCATGGCTGCCCACCGAGTCCTCAAGGCCATGCCTCGCCCAGACGCCCACGTCTGGCCTCCCGGACTGCTGCACCAGGGCCACCTGAGGCCCCCCTCCACCAGCAGAGCCCCTCCCACCAGGCTTTCCTCCCTCGAGCAGATCATCTTACAGCCCCGGACACCATTATAAGGCAGGTGTCACTTTTTCGCCCCCCGAGGCAGCCTCTCGGTAATTCAGCACCGTGCGACTCTGGGAGCCCTACCAGCTGCTCCTGGCTCTTCATCTGATCTGCAGCTTGCCTCTGCAGCTCCTCCTTGGCCCGCAGAGCGGCCACACGGTCAGCCTCCAGGCGCTCGGCTGCCTCCTGGGCACGCTGCCTCTCCTCCTCCAGCTGCAGGGCTCTCTGAATCTGGTCTGAGAGTTCTAGAGAGAGCACAGGGCCCTGAATTCCCAGCCTGGATGCCTGGCATGGGATCCAGGGCGGGACTCACAGCACAAGCTACAGAGCTACAAACTCTGCTTCTACGGACACAGAGAGGAAAGCACACTGCGGTGCGTTCCCTGCTGTGCATACAGACAACGTCCTTGCGGCAGTTAGAAACTGCTAGAGAGGGTTTCCCCCTCCCCCGGCCAGGGCTGGGGTAGGTTGGCAGACATGCAGAAACCACACCACTCACCCAGTTTTTAGTTTGTAAGACAGGAGGCAACATAGCATGGTTTGGGCACTCACTGGCTGTGCGACGTCGAGCAAATTAATTTCCCTGCTAAACCTTAACATCGTCATCAAGAAAATGGGGATGACTCAGTACTAACCTCAAAGGAGTAAGAGAAAATTTAAAAAAACAATGTGCATAAAGCATTTAGCACAGAACCTGCACAGCATCAAAAGTATCAAGATAATCAAAAGATTATCTTCTAATCCAAACACCCCTGGTCAGCTCTCAGCCTCGAGTCTCTACCGTGGCTGCTGTGTTAAGCTGAGACGTCCCTGGCTGTGGGTGTGCTGACGGTCCATCTACTCCTCGCTGTGGAATGCACCCCTGCACGCATAAGCACTGGGCACAAACGCACCTTTCTCTGCCTTCTTGGTTTTCTGCTCGTAGTCCTGCAGCCTGAGCATCAGCTCCTCCTTTTCCCGCATCATCTGCTCCTTCTCTCTCTCCACGGTCTCTCTCCTCTTCTTCTCGGTCTCCAGCTGCTGCCTGTTACAGGGCGAGGGGTGGCGCAGGAAGGTTTAGGTGCCGGCACACACCTGCCATGTCAACACGCGTCACCAGTGCCCAGTCCAGGCCCCAGGCCCCACCTCCGGATGGTATGGACTCAGGAAGCAGCAAGAGCAACCCCGAGCACTCCCCTCCCGGGCTCTGCCACCGCCCAGCCCAGTGAGGCAGCTCCCTGAGTGGGTCCTTGGGCCCCACGCAGTTACTTCCGAAGGTCCTCGCCCCCTGAGGCTCCACCCGTGTTTGCTAGGTGATGTTCCCCTGGCGCCTCTGATGGAGAACAGTGCAGGCAGGGCCGTCCTAGGGCCCGAGTCTGGGAGAACACTGCCCCGTCCTGCTGGCCTCCACCCTGCTCACCGCTCTAGCTGCTTCTGGTGCTTCTCCTCCCGGGCCTGAGCCTTCATCTGCTGCACCTCGATGGTGTCAGGCTTCCTGCGGCGCATATACAGCTCATGATTCCCCATGCAGAGCTGCAGGATCCGCTTGTTAATGCGCAGGCGGGGGGCATAGAACACGAAGTCCTACAGAACAGAACAGGGTGGACTCTTAAGCAGGAGGAACGCCTTCCTTTGGCTTTCTTCTTCTAAACCCAACTTCACAAAGTTCTAGATGACCTTTTCCAAAAGGACAAATGTAGCAGAGTATGGGGCCAAAAAGGGACTTCAAGGAAAAGCCACTGACTCCAAATGACCGGACAGAAAGTTCCTGGTGCCATGGGATTTGGATTCTCTGGGACAAACAGAGCAACTGTGTCTTTGTGGGTGTGCATGTGCACACACCCTGAAACCTTTCTGGCTGGACAGTAAAGCTTCTCTGAGGCAAGAAGTCCTGCAGCCTTGGGAAACCCGGGACTGAGGCCCAGTGCTGCCTGGTCTTCAGGCTGACACCCTCTGGCCCCGCCAGCCAGAGAACCACCGTCCCCCAGTCTTGCCTGGGGAAGAGCAACTTCTGTTTGAGTTTCTGGTCTCCTCTGCCTCAACCCCGGCCTCCCACATGGCCACCAGTGCATCCATTGGGTCACTAGTGGACGCCTGATGCCAGCCTGGTTAGCTCCAGGCCCAGGTACTGACGCCGTGGCTGGGCACATGTACAGAGTCCGGCCTGGCAGCCCCAGCCTACCCCTTGTGCACCTGAACTGCACTTGCATGCCCGCAAACCTATTTGCTCAAAGCAGTCCTGCTACTTGGGATGTCTTATCCAACCCCACAGACCCGAGGACCCCGGCACTCGAGGAGATGGCATGGAGGCTCCTGCTTCCGGCTTAACTGGCACACTTCCTGTGCCCCTGCGCTCCATGGGGGAGCCAGCACGTCTGCTGACGCACTTGGTTTGGTCTCTATCTTCCCCTGGATGGGCAGCTCCCCTGACAGCAAGGCTGTGTTCATTCATCTCTGTATCCCCAGGAACCAACAAATGGCCTGGATTTACTGGGTGCTGCAGTTTACAGAGCACTGCCACGTCTTGAGCCTGTGCCCTTGAGTTAAGTCACTTCCTTGGAGTCTGAACACCTTCAGCTGCATGGTGGGGAGGACAGTAATCTAACAGGACTGCTGGGAGGATTAACTCAGACACTGTTTGTCAGCAGGACAGGAGGCTCACTCACAAGACTGCTGGCTGCCTGACGAAACCGCTAGGGGAAGAGCCTTCTTGAACCTTAGGACTAGGACTGCAGAAGTCTGCAATGGGGGACAGGGGCGGCACACGGCCTTGCCTCCTCGTTCTTGCTACAGCTGCGATTAATGCAGGGGATGGGAGAGGAGAGAGGGTTTAGAAACTCTTGTTTAAAGTTATTTTAAAATGCCAGTCTTTAAAATGCAGGGTGCCTGGGTGGCTCAGTCATTAAGCATCTGCCTTCGGCTCAGGTCACGATCCAGAAGTCCTGGGATCGAGCCCCGCATCGGGCTCCCTGCTCGGCGGGAAGCCTGCTTCTCCCTCTCCCACTCCCCCTGCTTGTGTTCCCTCTCTCGCTATTTCTGTCAAAAAAATAAATAAAATCTTAAAAAAATAAAATAAAATGCCAGTCCGCTTCCTCTTCTTTTTTCCCTTTCTCTTCTCAGCTTGGGGCCCCTGGCATCCAGATTCTGACCTCTGGAACAGGGGCAGGGTGGCTGAAACAAAGAAATAGTGTGACATGTTCCACAGCGACTTCTGAAACCAGATAGGACACGCCAGGGAGCTAACCAACACACCCCAGAAGGCCCTACGTAGCTTCTTGGTTTTTTCATCAGTTCCAGAAATGCTGGACAGACAGTACTGTGAAACCCACGAGCCCATGGAGTTCCTGGGTAGAGCTTTCGCACACTTGTTATTAAGTCATCGGGTTTCCCAGGGAGCGTCTGCAGAGCTGGGAGAAGCACCACCTCTATTACGTAAGAGAAAACCATCTTTTGTCACGGCCACACAGGCATGCTACCCGCGTAGGTGTTGACTGTGGCTCCTAAGCATTGCAAAGGAACTCTGATTAGCACCAACTCCTCCTCAGAACAAGGTCAGTTTAAAAAACCATCAAAGGGCAGATGCTGCAAGTAACATCACCGCAGCCGGTGGGCCTAAGACAAGGCCTGCACACGGCTGGGGACAGCGAGAGCAGGAGGCAGGGCACATTTCCTGGGCTGCCTAGTCTCAGACTTCAAGTTAAAAACAAAAACTGAAACCAGTATTTACTTAAGGATTTCTAAGTCCAAGTACCCAGCCCAAGCCTCCTAATGCAAAACCACAACACCGATGAGATGTGGGGCAGGCTTTCTAAACTCTGGCAGAGACAGATCTTAAAAAAAAAACAAACTCGAGGCAAGAGGAAAGCTCATGGAAATGAATCCAAGTCCCTAAGAATACAAGAGAAAAGGAGATGGGAAAGTAGCTGTAAAGTTGTCGAACAACAAGCTCAGGAGCCTCTAGGACACTCTCCCACCAGGCCCCACCCCGGGGCTCCCTTTGGCTGAGGGCAGAGCTGCTCCCAGGGATATGGCAGTTCTTATAAGCCGTTAGACAGGTAGCTGCCCAAGAGCCTTCTCCCGCTTCCATGAGGCCGCAGGAACAAAAGACCCTCTTCTGAAGGAGACAGAGCTGTTTTAACCCCACACAGGACTACCGGGCAGGCTTGGAGGATTCAGTGTTTCAGGTCCCATCCCTGCAGTACCCAAGCTGGCAGGAGGAGAAACTGGCTTTTCTATGGGAAATGCCTGGTCATCGGGAGCATGACAGGACAATGGCTCATTTGTGAGCTTGCCATGGAAACTGCCCAGGGTCAGGGGTGCCCTCCACAAAAGTCAGCCCGAGAAAAGGAATCCCAAGCCTCACCTATGAGCCAACTCGGACCTTTGGGGTTTCCCTGTCCATCTTGCGGAGAAATGTGACTTTCTGCCGCCCCAAGTGCAAAGCCTGAACCCGGGAAATGCCACAGAGGAAGGAAGGAGCAGAGCGAGCCTGGTAAGGTGCACAGCGAGCCTGGTGAGGTGCACAGGGCAACAGGGACTCATACCCTCAAACCAGCTCCTTGTGTGGAACCCCCACCCCCATGACAGGAGTCTGACAACATCTGCCCCCTTGGTCAGGCCTTCCTGACCCAACCATCTGAACAGCCACACTGCCCCCCGCCTCTCATCGCCTCATCCTGGTGATTAAATACAGCTGCACTGTGGAAGTCACAGCCAGAAAGCCCATCACTTGTGTTCATGCATCTCTTCCACCAGCATGCAGACTTTATGAGGGTGGGAAGCCCACTCTGTTCCTGCTGCACACACAGTCCTAGAATACAGCTCGACTCGTAGTATGCAACCAACACATGCTTCTCTCACCTTGTTTTTTCTTTAATCAATGGCTCCACATAAAACTAGTATATAGTAAAAGTATGCTCAACTAATTCAACCAGAAGCATTACACTGCTTTTGCTTGGAATTTTAAGATTAGGAAAAATTCTGCAGCTTTTCAAAAGCTAAACTTATGCCAAAACACACACACAACTTAATCCTTAAATAGTCCAGTCCAGTCTGCTTCTGTCGGTCACATGTCTAAAATAAAAGTTCTGAAAAATGAGCACCACCCTGTGAGCAGACAGCAGCCTAGCCAAGGCCCTCAGGATCTTCTCGCTCTCCTGACTGCACCGATCTCATGGCCCACGTTAACTTGGGCACACTGTGACCCCCGGGCTGTGGTGCTGAATGTTGATGTGGCCGGTTTCCATGGAGCTGGAGAGTCTGTATTAAATGCTGCTTTAATTGTCAATAACTGTGCAACTACCCATGGAGTAGGAGTCAAAGAGTTTACAAACAGCAGGAATCGTTTTCAATTAAAGGAGAAAATACTTCCACGAACAGCGTCCAGCGTTCTGGTTTTCACTTATGCTGGACTAACCGGCCTGTGGGGAGGAGCATTTGGACAGTTAATGCCACTTGCTGTTCCACGTGGGGTACCCCTTGCCCCAGGGGGCCCCAGCCCCGGAAGGCTCCAGACGGCCCCAGCCTGGACCACAGCCCACGCTGGCCTCTCTAAGCCCCACACCGTAACCAAAACACCAAGTCCTTTCCAATCTATAATTCTGGTAAATCATAGCAGCCTCTAAGGAGGAAGAGATTATTCTTCAAATGGCATTTTTCTTTAAGAATCAGATTTCTGATTAGAAAACAAAATCCTCACCCATTCCATCACAATACAGTACGTATGTATGTCAAATTTTCTGAGCAATCAGCTGAAAATTTAAATGTCAGCAGAATCTATAAAACTGAAATGAATTTCTGTTAACACGCCAGTCTTTGCAGTTACTAGTTCACAGCCCAGATTCTTCAAACTCCAGGAACTGAAATCCCATTTCTAGCCAAGCCCTCCCAGGAAGACTGCCCCACCAGTCTCCTCATTGTGAGGAGCCACTTCCCACCATCAGCCCCAACGAGAAGGCACCTGCAGAAAGAGCACTGGAGGGGCCAGGAGGGGGTCAGAGGAAAGCAGAGTTGCACATTCTTGGAAGAGAAGGTGAGGCACACAGGGACCGTGGGGCCCGGCAATGCTCCAGATGCAGGTCTGACTTTTCCTAACATGGGTAAGCTGCAGAGACAGCTCTGAAAGCCAATGCTGGCCCTTGAGGCTTGTAAGCCATCATGTCTGTGCCCCAGCTGGCTTCCAGGGGGGTGCGGGGGTGCGCCCCCCTACCCCAGGTACACCTCCTGGAGGTAGGTTGGTTTTCCAGAGGAACACGAACATTTCACAAGCCCAGAAATGCAACATTTCGTAAGATGCTTATCATTTGGCAAAGGTCAATGACTCCGAACTGCCCTTTCCTTCGTAAGGAATGAAGACCACTTGAAAGCTCAGGGGACACAGTCAGCTAACTGCTGAGGGACACCTGGGCCCCTGCGTACCTCTACGTCAAGGGATCCTTGAACTTCAATGTAACCTGCTGGCAATTCGTTTATCCCGCTCCCCCCAACCCCCCCCCCCGTGCTTGTCATATAGAGAAATCTGTTATCCTGAAAACACATTTGGCTATAAGAATGAAAAACTGTAACCCCTCGCCCGAAATCCATAGAAACTTACAGGCGCCTTCTTGTCGATGGGCTTAATGACAAACTTTTTGTCATTGAAAGAGATGTTCCTGATTTCACTCCATGGAAAGCCAATCTTTGGGGTCAACCTGAGGTTAAAAAAAAAAAAAGGAGGGGGATAGTTAGGTGTGTGCTTAATTTTTTTACTTCAATTTGAAAAAAATACAAAGCTAGCCCAGGAACCATAGTATTTAATAGAGGTCATTACCAGAGGTCCTACCTGTGCTGGGAAAGGTCAGGTCCAAGCTCTAGGAAACCTCCACAAGCTCATTTATACTAAGTCTTCCCAACCTTGGGCATCCCCTGCGCCCGGCCCACCCCAGCCGGCAATCTCAAAGTCAACTCCAATCCCCAACCCAGCACACCCCTTCACCCTGTAAGAGCTCACACAGCCATCTTCTGTAGCCTGAGTCCCTGTCCCCAGAACCCCACGTCTAGTCATTAGTCTGACTCATTTCCCCTGTCAACCCACTCCTCTTCCGAACTGCCAACCCCCTCCCCGGGTCCCACAGGATGGAATCCAGGGGCCTCGACTTAGCATCCAAGAGCCTTCTAATCTAGCCTCAGCTTCCTGACACCCAGGCTCTCACAGGCCCACCTTGCCTGAAGAACTCCCTTCTCCTCCCTCCCCTTCAGGAACCTGCACCCTTCAGAACAGTTCAGCCTCCTTCAGCAACCTTGCCCCTTCTCAACTTGTAGTCTCTTGTGCTATGTGAACATTTTTTCAATTCTTCCATTCTTATTTGCTCTTTGAGGACCAGGCAGGTAAGCTTTCTGATGGCAAAGATCACGTCTTGGGTTTTCCAGGCATGCTCTAGTCAGAGCGGCTGCTCACCAATGGAAACAGAAAAGCCCCTGGGGTGTGCTCCAGTCCACCGCTGGAAGTGGGGTAATAAAGTCCCCTACTCTTTTCTACTGTGGTCTATTTCCCCCTCACATCTGTTAGTATCTCCTTGCTATATTTAGGTGCTCTGATGTTGGGTGTGCATATATTTACAACTGTTCGATGTCCTTGAGGAGCTGAGGGCTTGGTATGGATTCTGCTCTTCTGGGTCTCATTCAGTGCTCTGTGGCGTGTTCACCTGGCTGGCCAGACACCCTCCCGTGTCATCCTCTGACTTCTAAGACAGCACTAGGACTATTCACCCCTAAGAAAAGCCCCGGTACTGCTCACTACTGGCTGAAACTCTGGCTCTTTGGCACCCCCAGGGAAGTTCACCATATGATTTCAAGACCACATTGCTCTACTTAACCTCACGACTCCCACCCTATTTTTTCAACACATTTTACTATGGACACCATTCTAGAAGTAATGACAGACCCTCAAGCCACCAAAGATACTGCCATCAAAACCCAACCTTTCCCACAGTCCATAAAAACTTTCAATTTAGGAAATAAGCAGGAGAACCTATTGCCCTACCAACATATTTCATAAAAAATTCATGGGCAGTGTAGTCTTGCTATGACAACCTAAGCCAGGTCAAGTTGGTGGGGTGACTTCTGAAGGCCAAGAGAGGACACCCAAGCCCCACAGACGGCTGTTCAGGGACAGAGTGGTTCTGCACCCCTGGAGGAACTATGTCAGGGCACTGGCCACACTGTGGTTTTAAGCGTCAATCCTTTTTGGCATCTGCCTTTTACAGCTGTCCTACAGGGTCACCAATGCCTGCTGAGACACATCTGGCCAACAGGCCTCACAGCCAAACATGCAAGGGGTTTGTTTTGCTATTGACCATAGAGGTCATTGTGTCTGCAGGCCTCTGAGCACTGGAAGGGAACTCAGGATAGCACCTAGTCCCACTACTGACCGTAACCCGTGTCCTTATCTGGAGCGGCCGGAAGAGCACCAACAGGTAGGCGTCTGTTTGCTGCTTCTGAGCATCTCCCTCCACAGCACAAGAGTCCTTCGCGCTCGTTTCTCAGCTGGGCGGCTACCACCGCAGCCAGATTTCCAAATCTCCAAGTGCCCAGGAGGCAGGAATTGGGCTCCTAGCTTTATATGAGGTTCTCAAAACACTGTCGATCCTAAAAGCCCTCGACCTTCAGGTTAGACAGGCATCTTTCTTTCAGGGTTGGGTGTCCTGTCACCACGGCCTCCAGCCCTCTGCTCTGTGGAGTGCCTGTAAAGTTTGTCTTTTTAAGACTCTGGAAGCTCATATAACAATTTACAGCCATTCAGAAGCATGAATGCAGGTCAGAGGCCACACAGTTTTTTAAAAAGTGGGATTCTCCAATAAAAGGGACCAGAGCTCTTTACAGAAATAGTGGATTCCTGGGCTGGAGCAGAGAAGTACAAGATGATCCTGAAACATCTTGAGGTGCCACTAAATAAAGAAGTACTCAAACAATAATGGGATCAGAGCAAAAGGGCACAGAAGCCAACTTGAAGGGGATCCTAAAGGCAAATCTCAACAATCTGAACAATAAAATAGTAATAGATTTATAGCCCAGAGGATAAAATATCCGTGAATCCATATTAATATAAATAACTGAATAAATGAAGAGAAATTGACTGTGTTCAGTAGACAGATACATGTAAAATAAATTTATAAAAAACCACTGTTTCTCAAAAGCTGACTCCTGAATGGATGCTAGAATAGATGAAATATGGTCCTTCAAATACACTTAGGACTACAAAGTGTCTTAGGACTACACAAAGGACTACAAAGGTAGGAACTCCACAGAGCAGTCTGGCAGAGAGTGCCTTGATCAGTAACCAGTTAGCACCACCGGGAGGGAGATTTCTGACATCATATGCTGCCTCATGAGAGACCCCGGGAGCACAAGGCAGACTCCTGTGGGATTCTGGCCCAAAGAGCAAAACTCAAATCTAACTATGAGAAAACATCACACAGATCCAAGTTGAAGTTTTTTTTTTTTTTTTTTAAAGATTTTGTTTGACAGAGAGAGACACAGCGAGAGAGGGAACACAAGCAGGGGGACTGGGAGAGGGAGAAGCAGGCTTCCCGCAGAGCCGGGAGCCCGATGCAGGGCTCGATCCCAGGACCCTGGGATCATGACCTCAGCCGAAGGCAGACGCTTAATGACTGAGCCACCCAGGCGCCCCCAAGTTGAGGGACTTTCTAAAGAATTAATGGCCATTATGATCTTCCAAAGGGTCAAGGTCATGACAGACTGGGGAGAAGGTGACTAAGTCCAGGTGCGAGTCTGGGCAGGATCCTGGGGCAGAGAAAGGTCATTAGCGACAACTGGATTAAAATGGAAATTGGGTCTGTATATTGTTCACAGTATCATGTCAGCGTTAACTTTCCGACGGATACCTGGACTATGGCTCTGTCAGATGTTCCCACATGGGGAAGCTGGGTAAAGGACAGATGGGAATTCTTCGTACTTACTACTTTTCAAACATTTTTAAACTCTGAGATGATTTCAAAGTGAAAAACACAAGGCTACAAAATTTAAATTCAAAGTATGCAGTTGGGGGTGATGATATGTTCTTCGATGTCTTTACCCAAGTCTGGATTTTACAGGCACATATCGGTCTAAAGTCAGCAAGTTTAGACTTAAAGAGCACTTAAAAACCGTGCGTTTCACCTCAAAAGACAAACAAGACATACTGAGCTCTAGTAAATAATATACATTTTGGGGACAGTATACAGATGTCTGCAATTTACTTTTTAAACAGGTCTGAAAAAGAGAGGGCTAGAGGGTACAGTGACATGCGGCTGCGGAGAGACGAAAAAGCGAAATGCCAAGGATAGAATCTTTGTTTGAAATTTTTCATTAAAAAAAGTTTAGAAAAGGTCTGGGGTGGGATGGGTTGGAGCTCACTGCAGACCACACAGATGGCTCTGCCTACATTCTTACAATGGAAGCAAAGACACTCATCGCTATCTGTAGGGGCCAATGCAGGGTGGACCCCGACCACTCTGCAGGGTGGGCATGTGAAGGAACTTTCCCATGCGCCCCTCGTGCGCGCCTGCTGCCAGCCACGCTTAACCAGGCACCATGCTTCTCCCCCGCCCTCCCGCACGTCACCACGCGGAGGCCAAACTCTTCTCTGCCAGTCTGAGGTGAACTTTTAAAACTTCTTACTCTCAGTGGACTAACTGGAGTCCCTGCAACAGTCCCTGTAAGAGACTAGGAGGTTTTTTTTTTTTAATTCTGTTCCACGTTCAAGTTAGGGTCCCAAAGGGCCTGAAAGGAGAGAAGAAACTGACAACTGTGATCTTCGCCTATTTGATAAAAGAAAACTCACACAAATCAAAGAACTGTCTTCTGCTCTCCTCTCTTACATAGATCAGTAACCCACTAACGCGAAAGCACAGAGCTGTAACGCACACCCAAGGGAGGGGGCAAAATCAGCATTCTGCCCATTAGCATAATTTTAGTTTTAGAAACTGGAAATATAAATGACTGGCTTATCGGGACGCCTGGGTGGCTCAGGTCATCGTCCCAGGGTCCTGGGATCGAGTCTGGCATCGGGCTCCTTGCTCAGTGGGAAGCCCGCTTCTCCCTCTGCCCGCCGCTCCCCCTCCTTGTATGTGCACACTCTCTCTGACAAATAAAATCTTTTAAAAAAATGACTGGCTTATATTAAAATGTTATGATATACACGTTACATACACTATTATAGTTCACCGTGTTACACTATGTACGTTAGAGTAGGTATACGCTGTACACAACGACCGCGCTATAGTGTACTGTGAGAGCGCATACGGTGACGACAGAGTGTGCCGTGAGAGCGCGCTGTGATGACAGAACGCGCGGTGACGAGTGTGCTGTGATGACAGAACGCGCGGTGACAAGTGTACTGTGACGACAGAGCGCGCGGTGACGAGTGTACTGTGACGACAGAGCGCGCGGTGATGACAAGAGCACGCGGTGACAACAGCGTGCAGTGACAAGCGCCATAGTGACTGGCTCATTACATACACAGTAAAGCCAGTAAGACAGAAATATAAATCAGAGGAGATGATTTACAACTCACTCCTGAGAAATTTAAGGGAAAAAGAGACTGGCCCTTGTTTCGGTCCCAGCTTGTCTGCAGTCTTCTCCAGCATCCTCCCCCTTAAAGGGCCCGTCGAGTTACCTGCTGGAGCCCGAGTCTACCGCACAGACTCCTGCCTCTGGGAGGACCAGGAAGACTGGGAACTCAGGAGTGCAGGAGGGGTGAGCCCTAGGAGGGAAGAAGTGCTCTCACAGTACTGAAGAACTTGGGGGCAAGGGCACGTTCCTCTCATTGTTTTGTCTTTGTTGGTTTTGGTTTTGGTCTGATGATGCCAGGGAAGATCACATAACACAGCTAATCTCAATGTTCTCTGTTTCCAAGCTGACACCTTTCAGGGAAGGGGTCTGCCTGTTTCCTCCCCCTCCAAGTTCCTTCCTCACCTACGGGTTTACAGAAAGAAAAAGACAAATGCTTTCAGTCCCACATGCTCCCACTCAGTGGTTACGTATACAGTGAAAAGGGACCTCAAGAGACATTTCCCAATCAGGATATGTTTAATTCTAAAACAGGATAAAGGTATATTTGTTTATCTGTAGGTGCACTAAGTCTCTTATCGCCGCACTCACACACTCAATAGATCCGATTTCTCACTTGAACAACACTCCATGAACGCCCAGTTGTCCACTGTTAGCTGTACCACTGAGGGTAGTGAGCCGACGCTTACACAGCTCAGAGCTGTCCCAGCACTCCTTAGACTTGAGTCAGCCTCCTGCTTACACTGGTGGCCAGGTTGTCAATATTTGCTTCAAAGGCCTACTGATTGAATGTCTGGTTAAGTTTCTTCCTAACTGAAAAGAAGGTTGCCTTCAAGGGCAGGGAGGAAGTGAGGACTGCCCTATGCCCCAAGTGTTTTCTTGGGGGAGAAGACCCCTTTGAGAGAACTACCAGTTTCACTGGTAAATTGGGGGAGTGGGAAGACAGCAGGAAGAGACTGAATGAACCGCACTACTCAAATTTTCACTCGGAAAAAATTGACATTTACGTGGGCTGGAGGTAATTACAAGCTGACATCAGCAAGTTCCTGCCTATGGCTGTTTCCTACAGCTGGAAAAACCTGTTTAGACAGCCCTGGCCACAGCTACGTTACAGAATTGGGTCATTCAAGAAATGAATTCAGAGACAGAGGCAGTCTCCCACATCTATTCCCATGAGGGCACTGCCTTGACCAGCCACCGTCCTCCAACTGTGGGGCCTCCAGAAGGACCAGGGACAGGTTTCCTGAGCCTCCCAGACTGTTCATGTTTCTCCACGACACTGGGTCCAGCACACATGGGGAGGCTGCAAACCGAGAGTCCTCGATAATTCACTACTAGGTTCTCAGAGTTCCTGTGATTGACTGGGGTCCTTCCTGACTGGAACCATGCTTTCCAGCAAAGATGATTCTCTTTCATCCAGTTCTGGGCCCAAGTGGAGGGTCTATGAAGGCCTGAGACAGGTCCCTGTCCCACCCAAGTGAAAGCTATCTGTACCCCGGTTCTGGCAAGAAGACACATGGCTGAGATTGAAGGCAGAGTCTTCGTGTGATGTCGTCTGTTCTAAGCAGTGGCACACACCCCCCATGAAGGCCAGAGAGACGGTTTTTGGGGAGCACTAACAGTGGAGAGGAGGGGCAACAGGAGGAAATGTGGGAGAGCCATCACTCAAAGGCACAGGGAACCACCATGGAAAACTTGCCCTCACTGAATGAAAAGGATCTTTTCCCTGTGTATCTAGCTCACTGGCACAAACAGGCACATTCGCAGTGCTTGTGAGCACAGGGACGGGCAAAAGCAGCCAGCAAGGCCTGGCTTGCTCTCTACTGCTCTTGCAGACCTTACTCAACACACACACAGAGCTAACATGTGGCCATCAGATACCTCTCACAGGTTCAGAGGATTTAGCTAAACTGTACATAAGCCACTGTTTACAGAACCTGAAGATCTCTGATACAGGCACTGTAACTATTCTTGGTTGGATTAGCACAAACTTTAAGCCACCAGCATGGCGAGGGCTGCCTGGGTGGTATCTGTGGGTGTGCTGATGCCTAGGCAGCTGGTGGCAGGGCCTCCGTCGGAGAGCAGGGGAGGTCCTCCTGCAGCTCCAGTCTGTGGGGTCATGGGTCAGCGCATGGAACTGAGCTGGTGGACAAGCTATGGTGACAGAAGACAAAAAGTGCACAACTCAAGCCAACCTCTGACAAAATGTGGCCACATCACAGCTGAAAAGCCCTTTAAGATGCACACGTTGGTCCGGTAAGCCACCAGAGAAAATACCTCAAAAGAAACCACATGCATGGTCGCCAATGTCTCCCTTGTTTCCAACCCCAATCCCCCACCAACTGAAATTATAAAGTTCAACTCACTTATCGTCTTTCTCATAAATATTCAGTCCGAGGGCATCAACTCCAAGCCAAAGGTCTGTTCCTTTCTTATTTTTTATCTCAAAATAGTTGATTCCATACATTTCCAGGTCCTGAGCAATCTTCAGATACTCCAACATGGCACTGTCCCTAGCGGGGAGAATAAACAAGGAAATGCTCATTTGTGCGTGCGGTATCTGGAACTGTAAAACCACAGCTCTGGCACGATGGGCTGACAGCTGTGGGTTTGGCACTGTCCCTCTGTTGGCGATTCACACCTGGGCCCTGAGCTGTTGGACGCTGACCACTGATGTACTCTAGACCTTCTGAAAGAACTGAACTGACTCATGCTGGTTTCTTTCTCTGGACACAGGAGGTTTTCCTTTTAGACTGTCCTGGTAGGCAGTCTTTCTCTCGCCCACATGCTGCTGCAGGGACTCCCACTGTCTGCGTCAATAGCAGCCATCACTTAGGCCTTGAGCTCTTTCCCTCCACAAAAGACACTCAGGACAGATGAAAGCCGAAGGACGCAACGTCTGTGAGGCCCAAACTATAAATGAACTTCTGAGGTTGAGGGAATGCACAGAATTGGTGCTAATTCCCCAGGTTGAGGATTCTAGGGCAACAGAGAATTTGGCAATTTCTTACCCCTAATAGCCACATGTCACATCACGTTCCTCCTTCATGCCTCCTTTGTGCTTCTTTCATAAGTGTTTCTCACTTGGCATCAATTTTTTCCCATTGTGAACAATGCTCCTGCCCTCTTGACTAAAACAAAGTGTTTTAGACACAAGACCTTCTCTCTTCTAAAACAAAGGAGAAGGCTTTAGGGCCTGAGGCTGAACCTAAACTGTTTCTTAACCCCAGACATGAACACCTGGCTTTATTTAAGAGAGACCTCCGGAGCAACTGTTACCTTTCACTGCTCTGCCCGCTCGGGCTGAAGCCCAGGGCAGCGGCTCCGACAGCTAACCACCCTGAGGACCCTATCTGGGGTCAATGCCAAGGCAACCAGCTGGAGAGGCAGGAGCCATTCCGCACTCACTTGAGCATCCCGCGGTGCTCAGCGTGCCACACCTGGATCCGGTCCTCCCACTGGTCCCTGGTGAGCTTGTGCTGGTCCATGACTCTGGATTGCAAAGAAGAAGGCGGCACAGGAGGGTCACCACAAAGGGCCATGAGAGGCAAGCAGCGGGCCCCCACCTACCTGCAAACCTTGAGTTTTCTTTCAAATAAAACCACCATAGTGTTTCTACTTCCTAATACGCATTTTGGACAATTAACAATTTAGAAGACTTAGAATGAGACATATCCAGTCTTGCTGGAAAAATTTTAAAATGGTATTTTATATTTTAAGGGGACTCTTCTTCCAAAAGGGGTAATTTATATGACCATTAGTGAATAAAAACAGATTTAACAGGGCCAAATCTCTATGCACCAGGGGAAGCTAAGAAGTGTGATTATGTATACAGTAACACAGCTGCTCTTCCTGTGAAGAGCGGCCCCCCTTCCTGCTGCGGTTATCATGGACTGTAGAGGCGGGTCAGTGCCTGAGGGGAAGGCTCTGGTAGGTCAGTGCCTCCTGGAGGCCACAGCTCGTGCTGGTAAGCGCACAGCGCAGGAAGTGCTCGAGTCCCAGCCTCAAGGATCACGCATCCTCACGCTTGCTGACTGCTTCTGCTCACACACACCACTTACACCCTTCAGGGATGCAAGCACTGCTCTTGTCCAGGCCTGGCCGTCCCTTGCTCACCTTTGGGGGATCAGCCGCTCAGAGCTGAGGTACCCAGACTTGTGCGTTTCTTTGTTATAGTCTCCAAACTTGGCCTGCACTGCATAGGAGCCCAGGAGCACCGCCGTCTCAGGAGGGCAGTAAATCTCATCGCTGAGAATTCCCTCCTTCACTTGGAGGAAGAAAAGCTTTTGCGTGATGTCCTGGATGAGCTCCTCAGACACATCTTCGGGGTAGAACTTGGCCCGGAACTTGAACTGGAGAGGATTCTCCTTTCTGACCTCCTGTGCCGACACCTGCATGACAAAACCAAATGCCGCCTGCAAGCCTGGACGCCAAGACTGGCCTCCCCGAACCAGTTCCTCACTACTGGCTCAAAGGGGTCCTGCAGGCCAGTGTTCAGAAGGTGACATTTACTCGAAAGTCACCTTTTAGACATAAGATGAGAAAAGGCCAGCTGAAGTCCTATTGCCCTCCCACACTTAGCTGAAGTCCAGCAGCAGCCAGCCGGTGACCCGCCATGCCACTAGCGCCGGCCGTTAACTTCTGGGGAGGTGCTCCCAATTCCAGAAAACTCAAATTTAGAAGCAGCCTGCTTAGGGACCTGTGAACCTGGCATCTGCCCCTGTGGCCAGTCAAGCTGGGGGACCCTGGAACTTCCATTTAAAAACTACTCATGTTCCCTCCCCTCCCTTCCCTAATGGCCCCCAGACTTACTATAGTAATATGGGAAGAAGGCACAGGTTTGGGAAAAGGGACATTTTCAAATTGTGTGGAGAAAACCCATTTACACTTGTTGCTTTTCTTTACAGTTGTTAATGGAATTATTCAGTCTTTGGAGCTGGAAGATAATCTAACACAGGTTCAAACAAAGCAATAACAGGTTCTTACAAAACAGTGAAGGATTCATGGTTTATAAGATTAACAATTTCATTGGGGAAAAAAAAACTAAGGTCAACTAAAAGCTAAGCAATTAACCATCATATGCCCCAATGAGTGAGCAGGAAAAAGAAATGCCAGGATCTAATTTCCAACCAATATCCCCCATTTACTGGAAACCTGCAACCTTTTTTGTCTGTAAAAACTTTTACACAAATAACAAGAACAAAAAACAATCCAGTTTCAGTTTACAGAGCAGACCAACAATCAAACAACAGCCTGTAAATAGTTAACTCTGACTTACCTTTTTATCAAGTTTCAACCAGGTAGGAAATCCTTTATTATCCACATACTGGAGGCCAAAGTACCACACTTCCCGAAGGCCAATGGTCTTAACCACCTGTGTGAGAGAGACAGCGGGGCAGGGACTGAAGCAGCCAGGAGAGCGAGGTGCTGGCCGCCCAGTCACACCGAGCACGCCTCTCCTATACCATCCCAACAGGAATCCCAACCACTTACTAACAGAGGCTGTTCCCCCTAAGCTGTGAACAATTTATTTTTTTTTTTTAAAGATTTTTTATTTATTTATTTGAGAGAGAGAGAGCACATGAGAAGGGGGAGGGTCAGAGGGAGAAGCAGACTCCCTGCTGAGCAGGGAGCCCGATGCGGGACTCGATCCCAGGACTCCAGGATCATGACCTGAGCCGAAGGCAGTCGCTTAACCAACTGAGCCACCCAGGCGCCCCCGTGAACAATTTATTTTTAACATAGACTTGAGCAGATTCAGGATTAACTTTAAATCTCAGAAAATCTTAAGATCTTATACATTCGCACCCCTACTTCTCCGTTCTCCACTAGCTTTCCCGAGTAAAGACAACCAGCTGAGTTAGAGTAAGTACACAATCAGGCACCCCCCAGGGGACACCAGGGAAAGTGTGCATCCCAGGAGTGAATGTCTCCTTTCAGGTGTGCCCACGTGAAAAATGGGTTGAAAGTCACTAAGTGAAGCAAAGCAACACTTGGGTCTCCTCTGGTTGCCTGTCCCTGCTTCCCAGTCAGTTGGCCCAGGCCTCTGCTTAACTAGAAGAGAGAAACAGCAGTCCCTGGAAAGGTGGGCAACAGACGGCGGCAAGCTTCCAGGGAAAGCGGGGAGATAGGGGAGTTATGCTTCGCACATGCCAAGAAGTGACTAGCATTCTCCCAACCTCCAGAAATTTGAAATTCTGATATAGAAAAGCAGAATTCAACCCAAGGTGAGAGCAAGAATTTTGTATTTTAAAATTCTCCTCAGAGGGGCGCCTGGGTGGCTCAGCTGTTGAGCGTCTGCCTTCGGCTCAGGTCATGATCCCAGGGTCCTGGGATCGAGCCCCGCATCGGGCTCCCTGCTCGGCGGGAAGCCTGCTTCTCCCTCTCCCACTCCCCCTGCTTGTGTTCCTTCTCTCGCTGCGTCTTGAGTCTCTGTCAAATAAATAAATAAAATCTTAAAAAAAAAAAAATTCTCCTCAGAGGCACCTGGGTGGCTCAGTTGGTTGGGCGCCTCTCCCCCTGCTCGTGTGCACACACGCTCGCTCTCTCTCTCTCAACTAAATGAATAAATCTTTAAAATAAATAAATAAAATTCTCCACAGTACTAGAGAAAGTCTCCTGTGGTCCATTACAAACAGAGTCCCACTGGTTATTCTTGTGTCTTAAAAAAGCAACCTGCTGGGGACACTTGTTACACATCATCACAACTGAGTCCCAATGCTTTGCTGCACAGTTTAAATCCCATGACATACAATGCTAAGCCTTTATAAGGAGGTTACCATTCTTCAAATATATGGCTTCTATCACATTTAAAAGGAAAGAGGTCTGAACACGTGAGAAATGACCAATCAGATATCTGGAGCACTTGCTTAAAATAAAATCTGAAACTCCAAATAAACTCTTGCTCTGAGCCTGTTTTCTCATCCACTGGGGGACCAGATGCTTGCTGGAGCTCCAGGAGCCTGTTCAACATACACCAAAGAGGGACCCGTTCATTGGCTCCCTCACTCCCCCAAAGAGCAGGAGGCAGGCTCCATCATGGGATGATGTGGAAGAACTTGGACTGTTCTCCGCTAACTCCCAAGTCTCTTGTGAACCCTGCCTAGGTCTTGTTAGGGTAGCTGATATGAAGACCAGGTTTTCTGTACCCAATCCTGCTAATTTCTCCCTGTAAACCTCCATCTCAACATTTGGATATAAAACCTGCCTTGCCTTCCTCTTGGGTTGTTTCAGAATTGTATAGGAAAGCCCCACATTCATAAGCAATCTAGTCCTGTACTCCATCCACCGAACTTAGCCTTAGCCTGGGTCCTAACCAGTTTGAAATGATTTCCTGTCTGCCGGACTCCCCTCCCCATCCCAGTCAGACCCTCGCTGGTTTCCATGGCCACAGCACAGATGGCTCTGTACCTCTGCTATGATGTGGCCAGGCCCCTTGACGAAACAGATCACAGACCCTGGAACCACGCCATGGACATAACCCAGGGCTCTCACTCACTCAGTGAAAAGCCTGTCCCTGGGCGTCCCGATCTGCCAAATGTCTCTGTGGCATCTTCCATCACACTGGAAGATAACTGTCTGCAGTGTGTTTCAAAACCTTCTATTCCTGTGTCTTCCTCAAAATGGCACAATTGAAATTAACCTGCTTTCATTCAGTCCGTCTAAAAATCAACACCTAAGTCCTCCTTATGGGGAAATCCAATATTCTTGCAAAAACGCACCTCACCATTCCCTCCAACGTCCTTAGTTTACCCCAAAGCTGATATACATCATTAAAGCACAATGTGAACAGGTGTGGGGTCTTTCCTTTATCTCTGCCTCGGCAGTGTTTTAGTGGCAGTTCTGGAAAGGAAAAAGCAGGGACAGGTCTACTTGGCTCAATCCGAAGTGACAGCTGGAACATATGCTTTGATGATGGCAACAATGGGCACACTGAGTCACACCCTTCTTGCCACCTCAGGAATTTTGGCAGCAGGAAGGCACTGCTCAGGCCCTCCGTCAGATCCCTGGCCTAGTATCTAGGCGCAGATAAAGCAAGAGCCCTGGGGTGGAGTTGGGCCAGTTTTTGCAGAAGAGACTGAAGTAACTCATGGGTTGGGAGAGAAGGGTTCTGACTAACTCACCTCTAGTCTCTTTCAACCCATTCCATTTAAGGACCATATTCTAGTGACTAGTAGTTTGGCCCATGAACAACCTTCACAGACCTAGAAGGTCATCAGGTGAGCAACAGAGAAAAGGACACAGACTCTGAAGACATTAAGAAGAAAACATGCCTGGCCTGGTTGGGGTGTGGGGAAGGAGCCCCAGAAAGCACCCAGGGCATCCACTGAGTAACTGTCCTGACCACCCACACACAGGAAGGTGGGATGTTCTCTGCGTCATGTGCTACCTTGGAAGGATCAACAAATGGATCTTCAAAAAGACAAGTATAAGTAGGGTTGGACACTGTGGAGCCAACCCCTGCCCCAGCCCTGGCAAGCTATAGAACCTTGGGCAATTCTCTTCTCTCTCTGGGCCTTGATGTCTCCTCACTTATGACATATAGACAGCCATTTCCCAGGTCTGCTCTAGCCTTAGCGTTCTCAGATTATGTGGTACTTTTCAGGACAGGTACACCAAACTGTAAAGAAATTAAACGTGAACTCTGTCAGAGAGCTTTGTGATCCAGGTCTCATGGCTGAAGGTGGAGTTCAGGATCTTTCTGTCTCCCACCACTCCCTCCCACTTCCCTTTCCAGTAACTGATCGGTGGTGGAATCTCATTACCTGTCTTGGGAGGTTGGCGGAGATTCAGTCAGGAAACACGACTTGGGAACCAAAGAGGTCAAAGTGGGATGTGGCCCTGCTTTTTGTTTAGTACATGGAACCAGGGGGCTTGACTTTCTGGGGTGGGGAATAGTAACAGGTGCTTGAATAGGATCGTTGATGGGACTAATGAGCTTTGGAATAATTTAGATACAGGGCTTATCAAATCTTGTCATGTTGACTGGATTTATGTGGTTGGCACTTTTTAAATAACCCCTATCTACTGATTGAGTTCAGGGTCCACTCTTTGTACACCTATTAATCCACAGCTCCATGCTACTGGTAAGCAGATAATCTAATATTAGAAAAATACCTGGCTTAAAACCAATCTGAACACCAAACTAGATATAATTATTCAGCATTTAGGAAAATGTAGAGTTCTACCAATATGGCACCCTGCATCAAGAAGCAGAGATAATCTTGTGCAGTATGCAGCTCTGTGCCTAGCACAAGAGTGTGCACTTAAAAATGTCTGTAGAACTGAACCATCCGAGGGGAGTATTTGAAGCAACAGGGCAAGCCTCGCCTGCTCTCTCCACTCCCTCCCTCTTCCAAAGGACCCCAAGGAGCAGACAAGGATCTTCCAAGAGATAGCGGCCGTTCTACCTCGCGGAAGTACCACACTCTTCTGATGGCTTCTTCACACAATTTCTGAGAAGCAACACGTGAATGGAACAAGGCAGACGAGGGCAAGGGCAGCTGAATGGCTGAGACATCAAACTCTATAATCCACCTAACCTAGAGTTTCCAACTCTGCTCTAAAAATTGCTTGAGGACAGCCCAGCTCTCATTTACAGACAAGAACTCTGGGGTGACCGAGGGCCTCCTACCCATCCCTGTTCTAACCACTGACCCACATGGCACTCAGCTGGCTCCATTTAACTCACTTCTGGATTATCTTTCCAGAGAAACCTTTAGATTTTTGCCCCAAGTCCAGCCTCACCCAGAGCAACAGATGCCTTTATCCTAGAGGGTAAGGCGGAGCCAGGGATGACCTCACCACAGCAGCACAAGGAGAGCTGAGAAGGTGTCCCCGCCTATCGCAGGAGGCCCAGCGGGGACACACCAGCACCAGTGCTGGCCCCTGGGGCTGCGGAACAGAGCTGGCCCAGCACACGGCGGGGGGGGGGGGGGGGGGGGGGGGTGGTTAACCTACTAGGTATGCGGTTTGGCAGGTAAGAGAAGGAGGGATCATCAAGCATGGCAGGGTATCACCAATACCTTTTAGAATTTGCTGGAATTCTATCTCCCACATTTCCCATCAGCACCCACTCCCATTTCTGGGTTTGGTGCTAGGGTACAGACCATCACCTCTCCGATCGGTGGGACCTCTCAGGGAGGCAGGCAATAGCTCAAGGGACTTGTAAATTCATGTCTGCTCCTGCTGCCCTCTTGGATCCTTGGCCCCAGAGCAGAATTTACTCAGCTCAGAAAGGCAGATCTTGTTCTAAATGAAGAGTTATCACAGCTTTCTTGGTGGCTCATGATTATCAAAACTCTGCATTCACCTTCAGGCCTCAGCAAGAAATATTCAGGAATGTAGATGTGCTCTACTGCCCAGCTCAGCTCAAGGAAGAGCATCTGCTGACACCTGAGTGAGTTCAGGGATGCTGCAGTTGGACATGGAACCTATGGCCTGCCCGGTTCCAGCTGGGCCCTCAGGCAGTGTCTGGCCCTCACCGCACCATGACCTGCTGACCAGATGGCAGGAGATGGCTGCAGTGACCATGAAGACCCCTGGGGGTGAGGGATGGGAACCAGAGCTTTTGGATGTAGCACTGTGCTGATAAAGACTTCAGAGCATTCCCTAAATCTCCTCTCACAGGGCTGTGAACACTCTACTCCTGCAGAGTTTTTACAACACTGTGAACCCCCTGGAAGGAGGGGAAAATGTCCTCCTCTACAAAGAGAAGCAGCAAACCAACACACTCAGCAAAATTATTCAGATTTGAAAAAAATTTTTTCCTAAATGGGAGTTCTCTCTCCTAAGCTCACAGAGACCAACCTGATCAAAAAGCTGTTTTCCTGTTGTATTTGGCTGGATGGCGAACTCCAGCTCCGCATCCATGGTGGTAACTCGGACATTGATCTAAAAAAACAGAACAAAATGCATTATACTTAACTGAGTGTTCCTTTCTCATAATAATCTGAGCCTTCCGCAAAAACTCAAAGCTACTTAGCAACATGGCAAGAGTAAATTCCATCCATTCTCGTGCTGTCACAACACACACATGCACACACACACCGAAGCCAACAGCAGACAGCTGCTGAGTCTCAGCACTGCACAGTTTGGACTCAAAGGTATGCCCTCTTTGCTTTAATAAAAGCACATTCACACTTCAGTCTAGGCTGTTTTTCTACAAAATACTTTGATAACCATTAACGTATTTTTCCATGTACCAGCTTGTATTGACCCTCACAACAGCCAAGGAAGGCACCAGTGGGGTGGTGAGCCTCCTCAAGAATTCAGACCAAGACAGTAAGTGAAAGGAGAGAAGGAACAACATACCAGCATGTTTAGAAACACTGGAAACTAAATAGTGAAAAGAGAAAATGGTCAGATGACTAAAGACCCATCAAAGAGCATATCCTATAGTAATTTAAAATGCCAATTATGAAGAAGGTAGAAATATGGAAAATTGCTTCAGGAATGAAAGACATGAAAAGCAAAATGGTACACATCCCCCTCACTGCAAACCTGTGAGAGCCTCTAGGCAGAGGACGGAAGTAAAATGTGGGGATGGACGCATCATGGGATGGTCAGGTCACATGGAACTGAAGTGGGTTCTGAAGAGGGGCCTTAAAGAGGTCTCTAATTCCCATTGAGTTTGTTTAAAAAATTCACTTCCAAGGTAGTTTTCAAAATTTATCACTTGAGAAAACTCAAATTTACTAGCCATATGAAAAGCAGACAAATCTACTTAACATCACTGTCCCAAAGGAAAACACCATAACCACACAGCAACAGTAATGCTTAAGATTAAGAAATGTTTGCTTTTCACCATTTTTAAAGTGAAATATGTAAGAAGCTGGATAGACATGTACCCTAAATTCTTCTTGCCTCAGATGTAAATACCACGGGAACACAGTAACAGGACTAAGACTTAGCTGACAGAGGTTTAAGTGTCCAGCCGGCGCAAGACACACATTCAGCGCCCACACTAGTTCTTACTTTAGGAACAAAATCCATCTTCATGGATTTTTTTCTTCTAACCCTCAAGACTGGTAACTAAGAGATACTTTGACACAAACCCACTGTCTTTTAAAGGTTCTCTGGCTGACAGTAAAGAGAAGTGAGGTATAATTTTCCAGGATTTCAAGAAAAGTCTCCCCTCTAATCTCAAGTTTACAAAAAGATTAGGCATATTTTAAATTCCTCAATTGTATTAAAATATAAAAACCTAAGTTTCTTTTTTTTTCATGCTGGCAATAATTTATTTTTTTAAAAATCACAAAATGGCTGTTATGAAACATAAAAGATAAATAGCTTTCTCAATTATGGTTCCAAATGCACATATCAGAAATGAAAAATCAGCTCCAAAGTCAAATATTCCAGGGGACAAATGCAGCTCCAATTACAGATTCATAAGCCCACAGCGACACATCACACCCAAAACTAAGGTTGGGGGGGGCTTACAAATACAGGGTTTTTGATACGCTTTGCTGAGTAACTGATTGCAAACTGATTAACAGGAATATAGAAAAAACCATTCTAAGGTTTGAATCAGTTTCACATTTGACTCAAAGCTAACACAACTCTTTGAAAAAGCAAATTAAGAGGATGGATGTAACAAGCCAGTAGTCTGTAAAGAGTAAACTAAGTATGATGAAAAGGTCTGCGTAACCTCTATAAACTACATCTGCCACCACAAGACCTAATCTGCTATCCACTGCTCCAACATGGCCATCCTGCCCAGTTCTAGCTGGTCTGGTCTTCCCAGAGAATTCTTTCTGTGAGCTCCAACACCCACAGGCTGTCATGAAGCCTGGTATGTTACCTCAAACAAAGATGGCAAGCCTAAGGATCAGGTTGAGTTTTTCTGGCACTGCAATAACAAACAAAACTGGGACAAACAACAGGACACAGGTTTTTCTCCATTGTTTGGTCCCTTGGCCCTGTCAAAAGGAGTAATTCCCAGATCTGATTTGGGGACACATCAGAATTTTTATTTTCAAAAATGCCCCTAAAATTAAAGTCAAGTTAATTTTATCAATATGTAGCTCTGTCTTGGTCTGAATTCTTGAGGAGGCTCACCACCCCACTGGTGCCTTCCTTGGCTGTTGTGAGGGTCAATACAAGCTGGTACATGGAAAAATACGTTAATGGTTATCAAAGTATTTTGTAGAAAAACAGCCTAGACTGAAGTGTGAATGTGCTTTTATTAAAGCAAAGAGGGCATACCTTTGAGTCCAAACTGTGCAGTGCTGAGACTCAGCAGCTGTCTGCTGTTGGCTTCAGCAGATTTGCTGAAATGAGAGAACTCATGAACTTGAACAACCCGCGAGAGACGGTAGGCTGGAGGCCTGCGGCTGAGCTGCTCTGAGTCACGGGTGTGCACGTTCCTGGACTGGTCACTACCCTTACTAGGTTTCCCACAGGGGGCATGACTGGCACTCTGGGCGCAGGTGTTCCTTCTGCAAGACTATCTCAAGTGCATCCCTGAGCCCGCCTACTAAACACAGGTGTCCGCAGTCACCGGGGGAATCTAAAAGTGCCCCCTACCATTTCCACATGCTGAGGAGAAGGGAGGTTGCTACCCAGACTAAGGACCACAGCAGGGCACTGCCTTCATCAGAAGCAGGTTAAAGAGTTCCATGTTTATAAAGCCTGTTAAGATTATCAATTTTATGGATCTTTAATAATGAAATACAGCATAAATTTGTATCAAAGTTTAAGCATTTACTCAGATGACAGGACCATTTATATACATATTTTGGTCCACTTATCCAGGGGCTTTAAAAGAAATCAGATTTTAGCAATTAAGGAAACCTATCTAAATCCCAACTCTCCTTTTTTGAGACAGAGAGAGGGTGTGTTCGAGAGCTCAGGTGAGCAAACAGGGTGGGGAGGGGCAGAGGGAGGATCTTAAGCAGGCTCCATGCCCAGAGCAAAGACCTGAGCTGAAATAAAGAGTCGGACACTTAACTAAGCTGCTCAGGCGCCTCCCCCCACTTTAATTATCTTTGTCTTGAGTTTTCATGGTAAGCAACTGTTTTTAGAACTTGGATGGGAGCTGACGCTCATATCTGCAACGGGGCCACAGAAATAAAGTGGGCTTGTATGGTCCAGCAAGGGAAATGTGAGGATGGTCCTACCAAGAAACCAGAGGTCCACAGGCTTAAAACCTACCCCGCCCCCCCCGACACACCCAAACCGTGTGCAAAGGATGGGAGAAAGGATGCGTGTTTTGCAATTTTTATTGTCTTGGTAATTACCCCCAGATCACACTTATCAAAGGCAACTATTTGCTGAAGGCAGCAAGATCCCACAGTAACATGTGGTACAGGTGTGTATACAGAATATGCAGTTAGTCACTGAAAATCGAACCCCAAAAGGCAGTGTTTCTCTTAGGCCTGACAAAACGCTGAAAACCTTTTAAACATTCTTTGTTTGGGGATGATGATGGTGATTAAAGTTTAGTTGTGCTCATGTACGTCCACCACCTACGTGTGCACACAGGCGTGCACACACCAGTGTGGCTGACTGTAAATGGTACTTTAATTCAGGTCTCCTCCACATGCTACCCCAACTGAAGCTAAAAGATAAAGCCATACCGAAAGTCCTAAAACGTTAGAACATAAAAGGAACCAGACCTAACTGTACCCCACTATGTGTAATGGGAATTCATAAATAGGTTAGAGAATGGAGTTAACAACAGGTTTTTAAACTCCACAGGTTAAAAATAATGAGGTCTTCCTCCTGCTATATACTATGTCAGAATTTTAGAATAAGAGGACTTGTCTTCGACCCAAGTCACAACACGTTAATGAAGATGCCTGAAGCCATGCAAGGAAATGAGGTTCTAATGAGTATAATGCCTATTTTCCAAATTGGCCATATTTAGCAGAAAAATCTTTCTTCTTTTTGTCCCGGTGAACTAGCCTAGTAGAGGAGTTGTGTTTTCATTTCAGTAAGACAGGAGGGTTTTTTGATTGCTAGAATATCAGTATATGCTGCAGGTTTGTATCTTCAGCGAGAGAGGGAACACAAGCAGGGGGAGAGGGAGAAGCAAACTTCCCGCGGAGCAGGGAGCCCCACGTGGGGCTCGATCCCAGGACCCCGGGATCATGACCTGAGCCAAAGGCAGACGCCTAACGACTGAGCCACCCAGGTGCCCGAGAGAAAGGTTTTAAAAACAAAAATCGGAATGAACTTAAGTTTTATTTCTAAAACAAGTACAAAAATGGCCAGTAAAAATTCTTAAATCTAAGCAAAATGCCATGCATGCTTTTTTTTTTCATGACCATGACTACTGAACAGTACTGAACAAGTACATGCACCGCACCTCTAGAGAATGCATAGGTTATTTGATAGGGAATTTAACACAGAAACCTGTCTTTGCCTTAGTTAATGAAGTTAATGAAAACCTAACTGTAATGTTGTCTCTGTCCTCCCTCTGCTTAATAATCTACTCTTTAAAAAATTCTCTTTGCTGTTCTTATGGGTTAGCTCAGCTCAAGACTGTGACATTGCAAGCCAATGAACCATAATAGCTTCATTTCACTGTTCCCAGCCCGCCCCAGTTAGTGGGCACTGGCATGCCTTTGGGGCTCACTCACTCTACAAGGACCAAATACCTACCAGGTGCCTGGGGCACCAGGGGGGCCCTGCGACAAAGGGAGTCAGAGCAAACAGAGATGGGCATTGAATAGCTCCTATTCACCATAGTTGTTTCCAAATGGGCCCCAGAGCAGGCTTTCAAATACCCGAGGTTCTGGGCCTTAGCCCAAGAATCTGTATTTTTTAAAGCCATGCAAGTGAGGACCAGCTCAACCGAGGGATCACTGAACCAGAGGCAAGAGAACGCAGCCAGAGGGCCTGGGTTTGAGAGCTTGTGCTGCAGCCTGAGGACTTCCTCCCACTGGGCC